TACATAAAAAAACTTAAAACGGATTCTATCATACCAGAAAAGGGCAATTACGGCAATGTTTAATTTGAAAAGGAAAGATTCGGTAAAACATATTTTTACCGATCTTGGAATACTAACTGTTCATGGACTATATATCTTGGAAACTATTATTTATGCAAAAAATATTACAAAAACTCAGGTAGGGCCTATCAAACAAAATTAGTCATAATTATAACACTCGTTCTCAATCTCAAATTGATAGACACAATCTAGAATTTTATAAAAAGAAAACAAAATTCGCAGGAAATAAATTTATGTCCCATCTTCCAAAAATACTTATAACTGAAAATGATACAAAAAAGTTTAAAAATTGTCTGAAACAGTATTTGATTAAAATTGCCCCTTATTCTCTTGAAGAGTTTTGGGAGAACAAATAAAATAGATATTCTGTCTTATTTTTAGTTCTTAAATGTAAAACATTTTATTTTGTAAGATCTGACTCTATTCCTGTACAATTGTACTTAAATGAATAAAGGATATTTTGATTTGATTTGATTTGATATATAAGTTTTCTGGTTAAATAAATAAATTTATTTTTATAAATTCTGTTTCTTATTTGAATTGCAATTATTCTTAAAGTTACCTTTACTTCAAATCTATGAATTTCGAGTCAGAACAGACTAACTGGGACACAGAAATGTTTAAGTTTTCCTGCAAAGTGATCTGAAGGAAAGTGGTAATTGAGTTTAAGTTTGAGTATTGAATGTGAAATAATACCCATAGTAGGGGATGGAAACTTATTATTTTGATCAATATAATTTATTCTCTATAGCCACCAGAACAATCAGAGGGAAATCCGCTTGCAAGTTGTATTTTTTCTATTGTTTAGGTGAACTGGTAAAACATTATGGCTATGGTAGATGTGTAACTATAGAATACTGTAAATTTAAAGAAGCAAATTTTATTAAACTGTGTCCTCAAAGCTTGAGTATAACTGCAATAAGCATTTTATACTTATATGTCAACCCCATACGAAGGAACCCGTCCTCTGCTAGTATATATATAGATAGGTTTAACGAGTACCTAGGTTTGTTGCTACAGGGAGGCTAAAGTGTGTTTTAGTAGAATATTAATATAGCTTTGTATAAAATAAATAAATTTACCAAGTTTGATCAAGATATATCCATAAACAAGCAAACTACAAAAGTTTACAATATTCTCCATAAGAATAGCATCGGAAATTTTAATTTTTTGAATTTTCTGCGTAACCAATAAGCGTACAAAAAAACTTACTTAAAAAAGTTAAAAGTAAGTGTTACTTAAAAAAAAAACTACTAAATTATTTGTTTTTTAAGCTTTCAAAAGTGGTCTAGAGAGAAATTGGGAAATTTTGGGTCAAAAATTAAAATACCCTCACCGCAAATTCCCATTTACCTGACTGGATTTCTAAAAAAATATTCCCTTAAAATATACTGATTTATTTCCTTTTTAAATAACATTAATTTTAATGAGTACCTACTTAGGTTTGCTGCTACAGGGAAGGTATTGAAGTGTTTTTTTATTGAAGTGTTGATAGCTTAGTATGCAATAAACAAAATTATCAAATTTGATTAAAACATATCCATAAACAAGCAAACGACTACAGTTTATTTATTCTCCAAAAGAATAACGTGGGAATTTTAAATTTACAACTTTTTAAATTATCTCCGTAACCGTAAGGCATACAACAACGCTTCAACATACAAAATTATTTCTTTTTTTAATCTATACAAAATGGTTTGGAAAGAATTTGTGAAATTTTATGTTTTTAGGGTCAAAAATGGGAAAAACCAATTTTCACCCCATAAATCGCCGTTCCCATAGTCTGATCATGCTGGTTAGCGAACTCGATAGAATAAATGTAGGTTTACACGTTTGTATTAAATTTCATCAAAATCGGATAATTTTTGCTTGAGTTATCACGCTAACGGACACACACACATATAATATATTAATTTGAACGGAGGGTGTTTTGGCCACTGGGGACCTCAAAATGAAAAAGTAAATCGGTCCTGGGTCTAGGTATGCTAGGTATCCTAGGTCTCTCTTACTATGAGACCTACGGTGATAGGTTATTCCCTATATGGGAAATTCGCTAAATCACAATTTTTATCCCATAAAACCCTGTTCCCATGGTCCAATCATTCTGGTTCGTGAACTCATTCAATTTTATCTCGCCCTACACCTTCAAGCCCAAATTTCATCAAAATCGGACAAAGATTACTCGAGATATCGTGTTCACGGACACATATATATTTTTATAGTATATAACATGTGTAGTATATAACGGATGGTGTTTTTGGCCTCTGGGGACATCAAAATTAAAAAGTAAATCGGTCCGGGCCTAGGTCTTACAATCAGACCTACGGTAATAGCTACTTCCCTATAGGGAAATTCGCTAAAACATAATTATTAAACCTCAGTATCACAGTTGCAAAAGGCACATCGCCCATCTCTTAATGGGTCTTTAAAATATGCCCAATGAAATGCATGCAACAAAATGATTTTGTTCCAAATACACCAAAGGTTTTGCATCCTCATTAAGAAGTGATGCTCTCATTAGTCCATCATTAGTCATCTCATTAGTGATGCTCCATTAGTCTATGCTCAAAACCCGACACTACTTGAAATGTTGATAAATTTTCTAATTTGTTAACAGAGATGATACACTAGTCTTAAAAATGAAGAATTACATAAAAACCACATTCAGATGTTGCAATATCAATGGCAAGTCTACTTAAAGTGACTACAGCAGTGGCGTAACAGCAGGCCCTGCAGACCCCGCGGTGCAGGAGGGCCCGCGAGGTTGAGATACCCTTTTCTCCTAAAACCGTCCGTAAAACCAATCCTTTGTTCACCAATGTTTTTCTCTCCTGACAAATTTTTAAAACACTATGTGTTGGTAGATACTTTTATTCTGCCAAATCCATTGAAGTTTTATCTTTTAATTAACAGAATTGTTAACGGAACTCCATTAACGGAATAAACAAATGCTCGTTAAGATTTAAATTAAAAACACTAATACAGTAAGAATTTTAGTGGAAAAGGAATCTGAAGAAGTGTAGTGATAAAACCATTTATTTAGTTCGCAGTTGTAGAAGAAGCACAAGTGTCACTCCAACCAAATTTAATAAGATTTTTATTTTTTTAAGCAAACCTTAAACAAAATGAAAATAACCAAAAGAGTGGAATGAAGAACATTCGGTAGAACAGATGTTAATTAACCAACCGTCACCCTCAGCCGGGAGCATGACGGTTAAGCATATAGACGGATAATACCTGTACAACAAGTTGATTTAAAAGGTTTTGGAAGGAATACAACCCTGTACAAGTAAATAATACATAAGTACAGTATTTATATTTAAATTACTTACATGTGAGAGTAATACAGAACAGTAATTTTGTATGTTGTACTTGTTCAATGTTTGTACGATGAAATAAAATCACAAATAATCTAAGTACTGAAGCAGGGTGACGGATAACAGAGAGGGAGGGATGGGACATTCATTTTTAACCTATTTAAGTTGGTATCTCTGCTCTCTTTTTTCTACAGCATATATTTCTCTCCATTTTCTTTCTCCTTGTGAAGTTTGGCAGAGCTACCTGACACGGTTCAGTTTTTATAAAAGTTTAACTGATTTTTTGACGAAATCTCTAGTATTTTGACCCAACTTATTGGATGAAAATCTACCAAAATAAGGCAAGTGCAATATTTTTGGTGGATACTCCAATGATTAAGAAAGATTTTGATTGCTTATAAATGAAGCTAACTTTTGAGGTTATGTTTCAGTAATCTTATTTGTTTAACCATGTGCTTGAGGGAGGCATGGGACAGTAATATGAGGGAGGGTTGGGACAGTGTCCTAAAGGGTAGGTACTAAACCAGTGGAAGATGCTGAGCTGAGCATGATGGCCTTAAACGCTGTAGACACCACTAAAAGTGTTTATTGCAAGAGAAGAAGGTGTGTCATTCAATGTTGGGAATGTACTTGGTACTTTACCGTTTCCCAAAATAACAACGCAAGGCGATAGGGTCAGGTTTGTTTTTCATAAAAATCAATGTTTTTGAAAAGTAATCAAACTCAGTATGCCTTCCTTTATTGTATACTACAAGTTCTGTTACCTATTAAGAATGAATAAATGCAGTTGTTTATTTTGAAAAAGCATTCATTCAATATGTCCCAACCCTCCCCAACTGGTGTCCCAAGCCTCCCTCATAGAGGGAGGTTTGGGACACTTTGCACAGTAATAGTATTAAATACATAACTACAAAATGAATTGAATTTCAACCATCTAAACTACTTTATTTTATTACTGAATCAATAATACTTTCATGTCATTTTTGTTTGTTGACCTAACTGAAAAAAAGAAATAATCAAAAAGTGTCCCATCCCTGCCCTACTCCTAACAGCTCTCTTATATAAATACTGGTGAAATTATAATTTTTTTCCCTGAAATCTTCTTATAGGCCTACAGTAATTGGAAAATGAGCCTTTTGGTTGAATCATAATTTATATAATAAACTATGATTGTTAATAGTTTCCCATTAGGCCTAATATTTCTAGTTTTAGTGGATGAAAAGTTAAACTAGGCCCTAACTGATTTTTGCTACTTAAGTTTTGAGGAACTTACAATGTCTGTTACTTATAATGTGTTAAAATTAAATTATTGACCAGTAGATACCCTGTGTAATGAACTTAACAAATCTTATTAGCTTGCTTATTCTCCCACAAATGTACAGTATTTGTAAAGTACTGGTAATTTATAGGCATTTAACAAGATTGTCTTTGTCTAGTGTTATGTAAATTGCAAGCCTATAAGCTTCCTAACTTATAAGAGTCTTAGTGACATTTGAAATTCTTTCCAAACATTTAGAAATTTGTCTTAGTTTTCCAGACTTTTTGATCCACAAATCACAATTATACTAAGCATATCTTCAACAACAAAAGAAAAGTTTTAAATTTGCTCATTTTCTGACTTACTAAAAAGTGTTGTCACACCACGAAACTGATCTATCTTGTCCTTCACAGTCCACCTTTCATCATCCATTTTGGAATATAAATATTCAGGATATATAAGTCCTGTTAAGAAAAAAAACATAGATAGTTAAGTTATTGTTAAGATTACTAAAAGCTAATTGACACTGTTGACAAATCACCTGGCAAAACACTAAGCAAATAGATAAAACCGATGAAGAACAAAATTAGCCAAGCTCTATGAAATAATAAGGAATTCACTAAACCCAAATAAGATTTAAAATCAAAAGTAATTGTTATTTTTTCTCCTATGTACGAGGTAAATAAGAATGACAATACAAAGCACAAAACAAATATTTTTATTTTCTTACACATGTACACGTTTCAGCTTTAAAAACCCACAAACATAGTTTAATTTGCCAAGAATTAAAATTTATTTGTTGGTTATATTTTGTTAAAACAATGATATTAAAACTTATAAAATTATTCATTATGGAACAATATTACGCTTTAAAAATAAGCCTACATGCAAGAATTATTTGAGAGCCTACCTAAGTGCATATTTAACTACTGCTACTGTCACTCGATTCTGATCTCTTATGCTTCTTGTGTTTACTTTTGTGCTTCTTTTTCTTCTTCTTTGACTTCTTCTTGTGCTTACTCTTCTTATCGTCTACACTGTCTTCACTCATTTCTTCATCAGAGGACATTTTCCTCTTTTTCTTGGGACTTTCATCTTCAGAGCTAGAGCTATTATGTTTACGTTTCTTCTTCTTCTTTTTCTTTTTAGTTTCTTCCTTTTTCTTCTTCTTCTTCTTCAGTTCTTTCAGTTTTTCTTTCAATTCTTCATCCCTTAGTATGGTCAACGGGGTAGTGTAGTCATCTTCCGTGTCACTACTAGTGCTACTGACATCAAGTACTATATCCTTGTTGGGATCTACTTTAATAAAATTTTTACATTGGTAAGTCAAATGGCCGGCGTACCCGCACTTTTTACAAGCTGGCCTCACAGTTTCCTTTCCTTGAGGGATTAATCGTGCTAAAACTTCAGGGTCCATTTATCCCAAGAGCCTCTGAAATAGACAAAACTATTACTTTACTTTTCAAACAACGGGATTTACTGAGTGATGAAAAGGAAACTGGAGAGGGTCAGAGAGGATCTAAACTTATTTACCTAGATTTCTCATGCATTAAAAGTAGCCTATTACGGTATTCGGGTTCGGTTTCACAGCATGCTTACCACAACAGAATCCATTTAAATAATTTTCTTTGTACACAACATATTGAAGTATAGACTAGATTAATGGAGCAAAAAGGAAAATATCTGAAAAAGGATTTATTAGGGTACTGGTAGACATGTATCGCAGTACAGTTGTAAAATCAGCCATATTATTTTATTTATGAATCTTAAAACATGTGAGCGGATTGCAAAATAAGTTATAGTGGATCATCATATCCTGATGAAAGTTTACTATATGGCTGCTTTCATATTGTATTGAGTTATGGCATTATTTATTGAGTTAAACGTGTTGTACTTTAGGGCAACAGAAGGGAAGCAAACAGTCTTTCTACTACAAAAGACAATTATTAGAATAATATATAAAATCCCATTTATAGAGCACTGCAGGCCACTTTTCATTAATTTTAAGTCCCCACCTTTAGCTACATTTATATATTAGAATCAGCTAATATGATATTGAAATTTCCTGAAGTCTCTAAATGCAACCATGAAGTATATAATTATAAAACAAGGCAACAATACCACATACATTTCAATTGTCACTGAACATCATTGGTAATAGCCAGACCACATCACTCAGCTACTAAAATAGTTAATAAACTGCTAGAAGACATTTAAGTACAAATTGGAAGAATTTTTATAAGAATTATAAAAAAATATCCTCTATACCCTAAATACCTTTGACAACCACAGCTGGAAAGCTACTAGTGGGATCATCACAAGTATACAAGTAGGCTAACTATAACTGTAAAATATATAACTTATGTATTTAAAAATGTTTATTTAAATAACTTATATATATTTATATTTATATTAGCCTATATCCTAAGGGGCCATACACATAGGCTATTACGTAGGTAACAAACTTATTTGGCATTTAAAACACTCCCCCTCCCCACTGTAACGTACCGTAACGCTTAAGCAAACCACCCCCTCCTCCCTCTCGCCGCTTATGTTACGTAACTCCATCGTAGTAGACTTCAATAACAGCTTAAAGCATCATTTCACCAGTGGAATATAGATTAATTAAATAAATCATTAAACTTGTATGACTTTTGTTTGACAACCTTTTTATAATCAAAGCAAAATAATACAAACAAACAATATTGTTACTAACTTAATAATATAAAAGAACAAAATAAATTAACCCAATTTAAACATGACTAATTTAATTTATAACTAGGCCTAATAAAAACGTCAGATAAACGAATAAATTAATAACAGTTACATCGGTGAGGACCAAACAACAAAATTAAAGATTAATAATCTTATAACATAACATAAAATTGAAGTAAAAACTACCTTAAATTACAAACAGCTGTTAATGCATGATGGACGTAAACGTATCTTTTTAACTTACTGATTAAAATATCAATTTGATTATTTTTGGATTTTTAAGAGGAATGTGTGCATTACGTAACGTTGAGCCAAGGGGCCCCCTTCCATCATACAACATAGCGAAACACCAGTGCTATGCCATACCCCCTCCCACCCCCTTAGTGCGTTACATAATCTTTGTATAGGCCAGGCCCTAAGGGTGATAAGAACACTTATTTTGGCAAATGTTAAATAACTTGAAGTTATACTTTCACCAATTGAAAATTTAATTTTTATGTGTCTAATTTTAGTTTTTGCAAGCTGATCTGGCGTTAAGTCTGGCAAAAGCCAAATAAAACATAGCCAAATAATAAATAGTTGTTAGTACCTATTTTTAAACAAATATTTTGTAAACAATTTTTGTTAAAGTTAATGCAGGTTTTGCACAATACCCCCGCCGCAGCAAACCTGCCGACTAAGTGAATTTCCATTTGTCTGAATTGATTTTCAATTAAATATATTTTAATAACATTAGGTTTAAGGAGTACCTAGGTTTGCTGCTACAAGGAAACTAATAAAGTGTCTTTTTGGTACTTCAGTATTAAACGGAGGCCACCTAACCTACAGAAATATTTCGTACCGGATACCAAAAATAACTACATACTTGGAAAGAACACACTTTAATAGATTAACAGGTGAAGTTTAGAATTAATCCGACACCTGCTTCTGACGTTGTGCAACCCAGAACGCAGCAATGTCGGTAGGCCACATTTTGTCAGCGCGCTGCGGCGGTTATGTTAGGTTGGGTTATCATATGAATCGAACGATACCAGACGAGTTATACTTTCTATTATGATAACCCAACCTAACATAACCGCCGCAGCACGCTGACAAAATGTGGCCTCCGTTTCAGACACAGTGACAGGCGATGACAGGTAATGGCGCGCGCTCCGGTCAACGACCCTGATCTTGGCCTACTTGGAGGGGATTCTGCGAGTAGACACATGACTCATCTGATAACGCTTGACTCACAACAATACTAGAATAGTTCTACTACAACATCTATAACAATTTAACCCTCTATAAGTGCCGCGGCGCGTTTCGTAATGGTGGCCTCCGTTTAATACTGAAGTACCGTGTTTTTTAGTAAAATATTGATAGCTTAGTACAAAATACATAAATTTGCCAAGTTTGATCAAAATATATCGATAAACAAGCAAACTGCAACATTTGACAATATTCTCCATAAGAATAACATGGGAATTTTAAATTTACAATTTTTTTAGTTTTCTCCGTTACTAATAACCAAACAAAAATACTTTTGTATACTAAATTATTTGTTTTTTTTAAGCTCTTTAAAAAGGTCTAAAGAGAAATTGGGAAATTTTGTGTTTTGAGGGTCAAAAGTGAGAAAAACCAATTTTTACCCCATAAAACCCCCCGTAAAGCCCCGTTCCCATGGTCCAATCATGCTGGTTCGCGAACTCATTCAAGTTTATCTCGCTTTACACCTTTAAACCAAACTTCATCAAAATCGGAAAAAAATTACTCAAGTTATCGCGTTCACGGACGTATATATAGGCCTATATACAGGGTGAGTTTCTACTGACCGTGTTAACTTCGCCAGTGGGTTCTACTCACTAAAAGGAACAAAAAAGTTCCTATAAACCCATGTCCGATTTTCGACTGTTTGGCTGTTTTGGGGGATTTTGTGTTTTTCTTATTTTATTAGACTTTGCTCCACAATTTATTTAATAAAAACTTAACCAATTACATTAGAGAGTTATAATTAAAATCATTGGAAAGAACATTAAATTTGCTATAAATCAAAGGTTTCATTCAACAATTATACCATTACATAGTCCACGTTATAACCAAAATAAAGTAAAAATGTCATTAAATTAATTAATTACGATAATTTTCATGGGCCTCCTTTGATACATAAACCTGCATTTATGCAATGTTGAAATGCATAAAAAACTTGGCATTTTAATAATCTTTCAAATGATATGCTATTCAATACTATTATTGATATAAACCAGTGAGAAATTACTAATAAACTACAATAAAACACGGTTTACAGATTTTGTTTTTGCACAGTTTTACTGTTAATAATAATTACTGTATACTCCATGATGTATTTTATTGAACTATCAGATAAAATTTGTACATTATTTTAACTTTTAAATATTTATTAAAATTATCTGAATTAATAAAATGTATAAACTCAAGTTTCTTCACATTTTCAAAGATGTAGTGTGTTTGATTCTTAAATGCTGTGTAATTAGTTTTACCTTGTGCTTGATTATGTCAGCTTTTATTGATTTGTCATCTATCGCTAGATAACTCAGCTGCTTGAACATACCTTGTTGAGTAATTTGCTGTTTTAACTTTATATTTCCAAGTCAATTAAGAGTTTTTCAACATTTATTAAAATATGGAGCCTTTTACCAATCAAGATTATGCCAACATGATGAATACAGTAATTATTATTAACAGTAAAACTGTGCAAAAACAAAATCTGTAAACCGTGTTTTATTGTAGTTTATTAGTAATTTCTCACTGGTTTATATCAATAATAGTATTGAATAGCATATCATTTGAAAGATTATTAAAATGACAAGTTTTTTATGCATTTCAACATTGCATAAATGCAGGTTTATGTATCAAAGGAGGCCCATGAAAATTATCGTAATTAATTAATTTAATGACATTTTTACTTTATTTTGGTTATAACGTGGACTATGTAATGGTATAGTTGTTGAATGAAACCTTTGATTTATAGCAAATTTAATGTTCTTTCCAATGATTTTAATTATAACTCTCTAAAGTAATTGGTTAAGTTTTTATTACATAAATTGTGGAGCAAAGTCTAATAAAATAAGAAAAACACAAAATCCCCCAAAACAGCCAAACGGTCGAAAATCGGACATGGGTTTATAGGAACTTTTTTGTTCCTTTTAGTGAGTAGAACCCACTGGCGAAGTTAACACGGTCAGTAGAAACTCACCCTGTATATATATAAATCTATATATATATATATAAATATATATATACATATATAAAAATTTGAACGAATGGTGTTTTTGGCCTCTAGGGACATCAAAATGAAAAAGTAAATCGGTCCCGGGTCTAGGTCTTACCGTGCCACCTACGGTAATAGCTACTTCCCTATAGGGAAATTCGCTAAAAGGCCACCAAAGAATTTGGGAGGAATAACTTAACTTATTTCCTTAGCATCTGTAAGTTTTACTTGACATTGCTTTGTATGCGGGAAACATTTTACAAAAGGTAAATAAAAATTGAAAAAGTAAGCAATCATGCCTGCATGATATGAAATGGATTGACCCAAGTTTCTAGTGCCAGTGAGGTTAAAAACGGTATTGTATATACATGCAGATGATCGGCAATTCAAATCAGTGAATAAAACTTAAGATTAAGCCTGCCAGTTGTTAAGTTAAATAATTCAAGGACCAACAATGAAGGCTAGTGATAGAAGACTAGAGCCACAGAAAATTGACAAAGCCTAGCCTATAAGAATCTAACCAAAGACATTTGGAAACTTCTTAAACAGTTTTTAAATAAGAGACAAGATAACTTATTAAGAGAGAGTGATAAGAGATTAAAATAAACCCTAAAGTCACGTTTACACCGGAGTTTGGAACTTTTTGTTGGTAATGCTTGTTTCTAAAACAAAAGTTTACAAAAGATAACTTAGTGCACATTTCTTTGATTTTTTTGGGCACAATTTAATCACCGTTCCTAAGAACACAATCGCTCTCGATATAGTCAAGTGGTGGTGGGTAGGCACAGGGGGTAGCTGGAAGTGTTGTAAACAGCGTAGAAGTAAGTTACAGAAACATAACTTATGTTCAAAAAAAAGTTTTCCTTATGTTTTTAAGTTTTCCTAGTTAAAAATAAGTTAGCGATTATTAATCGATACGCAGAGGATACGCGTCCGGTAACAGGACGTGGATTAGGCGTCTGGCAGTTACTGTCATAAACTAACCTAACCAACCAAACTTGCTGATAATGGAAAAAATCAAATGAAGGTTCAATTCTCTTCATAACATAAAATTATAAATGCCAAAAATTCTAACAAAAGATGTACAGTTAAGAAGAAATTACATTCAAAGCAAAATCTGTGACAAAAAGTTAAAGAAACCGATGGGTTTCGAACCAGGGACCTCTCGGATATCAGCCGAGCACTCTATCCACTACACCACGAACAACGCTGGCCGAACATCGTATCGTTGTGGTAATGGCGTCCCGGGACCCCACAACCCGGTGACGTCACTACCGGACGCCTAATCCACGTCTGGTTACCGGACGTGTATCCTCTGTGTAATCGATAACCTATTTTCAATCATACTACAGCATAGCACAGTTAAGAAACTGTAAGTTACCCTAAACGTGGCTTAACTTAAGTGGGACAGACTTCTGTAAGTTACTGAACAGTAATATGCTAGAAAATAAATAAACACTAGGATTTAGACTACCTACACTCATATAGGCTAAGGCCGAGTTAGTTTTGATTAGCATTTCAATAAAAAAGACTATGTTTAATAGGTAGTAACTCAGCTTACATTGCAAAAACCTGTAGGCCTAGGGGTTTATCATACCACCCTAGCCTAGGCCCTAGGCCTATTAACTTAGGCAGCCTATGCTAAGTTTTAAACCTCTTAAATTTGACCTAACTTAGTTTCAACATGCTTAACTTACCTCTTCCAAAATGTATGGCTTTTGAATTTGAGTAAGGTAATTTATCAAGTTATTCTTTGATGGTAATAAATGGAGCTTCACTTTTACCTTCACCTAGCACCTAGCTGAAGCTGATCGATCTGCTTACAATACGAGTGGTACTACTACGAGTACGACTACAACGATACTAAACAAAAAAAATTAAATAAATAAACAAACAATGATAAAATTAATAATTGTTTGATTTGCAATCGTGCAAGCGCAAACAGAAAGTCAGTTAGGATTGGATTAGATCTAGATCTGGATTCGAGGAGCCAGCCAGCCAGCAAAATAAATATAGGATATAGGTAGTAGATAGTAGTAATAGTAGATGTACTGTAATAACATTGACTATAAATCCTTAAAAGCTTATAGAAATATAAAGAAGTGCCGCGCATGCGCATTGCACCACATTGCGCACTAGCAGCATTGACTAAAGCCCCCCATACACTATCCAACATGTTGGACGGACATGTCGGGATCCGACGTCTTGTCGAACATATTGGACAGTGTTTGGGTTCCGACCCGACATGCTCGACGGATATGTCAGGTCGGATGCTCGGTCCGATAGCACCACCCGACTCGAGCCGTCCGCCTGACATGTTGGACCGTGTGGTGTGGTGGGAAACCGTCGAACTGCTCGCACGCCTAGCCAAAAGTGTTTCCATTCGCGGGATTATTATCCCGAAAACGGGATTTTTAGACCTTGAGCGGGATTAAAACGGGATGCGGGATAAAACGGGATTTTTGGCTGTGACGACTATTTTTATTATTTTTCTACTCAACTCAATTTTAGAGAAAAACGAACTCAAATTGTTTAAATACTGTAGCAAAATATAATAGTGATGTTTAAACAACTTATAAAAATGATACATAAAGTTTAATACTAGGAATTGTACCAAAAAAATCATGCGGGATAAAACGGGATTTTTCACCGATTTAAAAGCGGGATAAAACGGGATTTCTCGACCCAGTAAGCGGGATTATTTTTTGGTCGTGTGGAAACACTGCTAGCCACAGTTTCCAGTAAACTTGTAGTTAGCGAGTTGTGCGTGATGTGATAACCGTCCCATTTTTCCATAATGTCATTTAATAATAATAAACAGTTCTGGTCAGAATCTATTTAACTCTACACTTTGCACACAACAACAGATATGGAAAGTTTTCAAATGAACACCCTGTATAATATTTTACACAACTGTGTGGTAGGTTTATTTATTCTAAAACTATGTCATTGATTATGGGGAAAATATATTGTATGACTGTTGCTGTATCAACCCAGGCTCTACCATGCTCTACCTTCGATTTATTTAAGTGTTAAAGCTATGAAGATAATTTTGTTGATATATTTTCATGTAAAAAGTAGGACAATTACAATGTAGGTTATACTTTTTTGTATAAATTTAGTGGATTTTTGTTTATAAATTCAAACTACTTAACATGGGTTTGGATTAGGTGGTGTAGTATCAAATCAAATCATTTATTGAGCCAGAATATAACATAAGGTTTGGCATGGTTTGGCTAGGTCATCAATGAAAATAAAAGTTGGCTTAGAACTAGGTACAGTTATACAATCATACAATACTTACAAATGATTGTTTTCTATATAAATATTTAGATCACTAGTCTTGGAACTGATTTTAGTTGCAAATTCTTGGACGCTGTAACAGGTACGTAGTACGAACTTTTTCAGCAAATATTTTAATTGTTTTTATTTTATTTTAACAGGTTTGGTTCAAGTTTAAGAGAAAGTGGAAGTGATAGTAATTGCTATTTACATTACAAGCGTAGTAAGAGCGTTTTTACATCACGCAGGTGAATGTTGTCCAACGAGCGGAAGCGAGCTGCATAATTCTCCTAAGTGATGTAAACAAGCTCTTGCCTAACGAGTAACGTACAAGATTTTACCTGACCCTACAATATACCAGGAGGTTACGAACAATATTTTTCATTATCCATTTCACTCATCTTCTAACAGTAACGTTCATTTATAAACAAAAGCTAGTCGCGGACTGATAACAAAGGTACAGTTTATCAGACAGATGTGTTCAGTTACGTCATTAAATCAAACAACCTCCAATTCCAATCTAGATTAACCAATCCTAGATCGCTTCTTTGTACAGACTATGTATTGTTGTCTGTACTTGGAAACAAGTTTGAAGTTTGTCATCTGATTGCAAAATTCAAATGAACCGATTCCAGCACTTTCCCAAATGCTAGTACGCCTATAGTGAATGCGGATAAAATGAGCAAGCAAGCACTATGTTGTAATATATTTTACAATAGATAAAAAGAGTAGATATGTCTACTCCTTTTATCTATGATTTTACCTAACGAGCCATGTTAAACTTCCCTATCCCAAGCGTGATGAAGGGAGTATGTTTTATCTATGGTGATGTATACAACCTCTTTACTTCACAAGTGATGTAAAGTTGAAAAAAACTCACTCGGTGAGGTAATACTACTACTCAGTCGAGTCGAGTCAGTCAGTTCAGTCACGGCCGCCTTTAACCAGTTCGGTTGTCAGTTGGAGTTACACTACACTAGTTAGTTGCAGTTCGAGTTCACTTTAGTTCAGTCATAGATAAAACATACTCCGTTCAGTGTTTAGAAAAGTTCGTTCAGCTCTCCTCACTCCTCAGTCCTCAGTCTCGTCTCAGTCTCAGTTCCAGTTCCAGTTGTCACTGTTGTCGTTGTCAGTTGTCATTTCCATTTGTCAATGAAATTTAACTTGATCAATGTTTTAACGAGCGTAGATTTGGAGTCTCTGGTATTAATTATTACAAGTTGGATTATTATTACAACTTAATCAATGAAAATTTAGTGTAAAGATATGGTAATGTATAAATATTACTATAAAATAATCCACTCTAAGATCTATAAGTTGGTATAATATTATTTGGCAATCATACCTAATAAAGCGAGCATGTTTTTGGGGGGAATTGGAAGGTAGGCCTAATAAGTAACTTAGGCCTAGGTTTAGTACGTTAAATGTCAAGAGTTCCATCTACAGTATAGATTCCTGTCTGTTTGATAACTAAGCAAGTTGTGAAATCAATAAGTAAATTTTTAACTTTTATTGGTGGTAACCTAGGCCTACTTGGTGTCAAAGGCTTTGTCCACATAGCTATTCAGGGTCTCCCAGCCTATATCAAGTGTAATCCATTGTTTTAGTGTGGAGTATATCCTACCCTACTTAACTTACTACCTAAGAAATGTTAATCCAGGGGCGGCTCCAGGAATAATTTTTTGGGTAGGCCTTGCAAGGATCAAGAAAGAGTTTGATTTGGGGTCTACGAGAGGTTTGAGAAGGGCTTCCCCGCAAAAAGGGGGTCATTTTAAAATTCAGATGCAAAATAATTAGTTTGAACACTTTCCCTTTATTTACATATAATTACATTGCTTTAAATTAATTCTTTCTAATTTTGAATTAGGTAACTTATCTACCAACATTTTTGGAGCCGCCCCTGTGTTATCATTTAATTCTCTAAAAACAATTTAAGTTACTTAACTAAATCCGTGTCTTGATCTCCAAAAGTTGATTGCCTCAATATAAAATCACAAATGAGCTAGGTGACTAATCAGTGGTCTTTTTAGCAAATTTCCCATATAGGGAATAAGCTATTACCGTAGTACTCATGGTAAGACCTGGACCCGGGACTGATTTAATTTTTCGTTTTAAGGTCCCTAGAAGCCAACTACACCATCCGTTCAAATTCATATATATCTATTACAGTAGAGTCCCGCAAACTCGGCACTCGATAACCCGGCAGTCTGGATAACTCGGCCATCACCTGGCTAAGAAAATTAGTGATTTTTTGAGTCCGAGTTAAACATGGGCTCAAGTCAAGGCATTTGCAACTCGTACCAAGGATTTGTTGTACTATGTCTGATGACTTAATACATCTACATCTACATGTATTTAAGTTAATAAATGTAAATAAATAAGGCAGCTAAAAGGAATAAAAATTGTATTGTTCTTATTTTTAATCCTAGTTCAGAAGGTCTACCGGTACCTATTATATTATAAATTTATATTATATTACCTATATAGGTACGGTTACGTTAGCGCGATAACTCGAGCAAAAATGATCCGATTTTGATGAAATTTGGTACAAACGTGTAAACCTACGTTTATTCAAACGAGTTCGCGAACCAGCATAATCGGACCATGGGAACGGGTGTTTTTGGTGGGGGGGGGGGTTTATGGGGTAAAAATGGGGTTTTCCCATTTTTGACCCTAAAAATAAAACATTTTGCAACTTCTTTTTAAACCGTTTTGTAGAGCTTAAAAAAAGAAATAATTTAACTTAGTATATTGAAGCGCTGTTGTAAGCCTAATGGTCACGGAGAAAATTAAAAAATAGTGTAGGCTAGTTTAAAATTCCCATGTTATTCTTATGGAGAAAATGAAAACTGTTGTAGTTTACTTGTTTATGGATATAGAGTATGACAACTTGGCAAATTTATTTATTTCATCCTATAAGCACTTGTTAAATCTTACATATTAAAAAAATTTGGTTTTCTTTTCCGAGTTCGTTTGGCTCTTCTACTTCACCGATTTTCATGATTGAGGTCTCGAATTGAAGGTATGCACGTACAGATTTGCCATCAATCATCAGAAAAAAAGTATCTATAATCCCACTCGGCATATAGGTCCTAAATGAAATTTGCTCCCCATGTATTTCTTATGGGAGTTAAATTTAGGTTTTCTTTTCCGAGTTCGATTGGCTCTTCCACCCGACCGATTTTCATGATTGAGGTCTCGAATTGAAGGTATGCACGTACAGATTTGCCATCACCCATCGCCATATATTTTATCTATAATCCCACTCGGTGTATACACAAACGAAATTTACTCCCCATGTATTTCTTATGGGAGTTAAATTAGGTTTTTCCTTGCTGAGTTCGTTTGGCTCTTCTACCTGACTGATTTTCATGATTGAGGTCTCGAATTGAAGGTATGCACGCACAGATTTGCCATCAAGCATCGGCATAGTTTGATTCTTTTTTTAATTTACGATTAGCCTACTTCAATTTAAGATGTATTTCACCAGTTATAATTATATAATCCTATATATTTTGGTTTAAGAACCTTCAGTGAAATAGCCTACCTGCTTTCTTTTAAGCTAGGGTAGTTGTTCAAATTGGACCAGTTCCAAGCAAACACAAAGTGAACAACCAACATAAAATTATTTTTCATAAGGGTTTTCTATGATTACAAATCAATAGCTCCCCAGTTTTGTTCATGTTTTTGTATGTTTTAGACTCAAAATAATCAATAAATTATAAGCTTTAATTTGAGCTATTGATAGTTTAAATCAGTTAAGCTCAAGGTAGAGGCCTACCGTATTACTCAATCAAAGAATTATAAATTTGATTATTTCTCGGATATCATATTTATTTTAACGCTGCGGAGCAGCATGGGTCCTCTAGTCTAATGTTATTTAAATTGGGAATAAATTTTATGTCTTATTTATGGAAGTATTTTAGTAAAAATGTAATCAGACAAGTTTAAATTCGCTTAGTCTGCAGGTTTGCTGTGGCGGGGGTATTTGATTGCTTCTGCAGATGATTTAAATAAGATTTACATTCCAACAAAATCCATCCTGAATCAACTTAACTTAAAGTTTATGTCTGTTAAAATGCGGTAGTTTTTCTAACCTTAAGTTATTTATGTTAAATTTGGAGAGAATGAATTTTAACTTTATGTTCTCCAAGAAAATAGCCTACCGGTACCGTAACTGAACACTTAGGTATCTTATTATAGATTTGTGTGTAATCTGGAGTTTTCATATTCATTTTTCTTTTTCAGAAATAACAGTAAGTTGAATCAGTTAATAACTATTACTCTGATAATTCAGTCTTGAGAACTACCTTACAAAGGCAATCATGTCCCTCAGTGCAAGTGCAGATAACATCGTGGGGGAAAACCAGGTATTGTAGCCTTTTATCTTATTAAGCTTATTAATTGTGATGTGGCGAGTTGAGTACATTCCTGACTAAATTCACTCGACTTGTAAGCTGCCATTGACTTGTGTTACAAGTCGAGCCTTACTCCAATCTGATCAATTGCGGCTGGTTCTGAGCTCAAGTAAGTTCAGCTTATTAGGGCGGGTTTGTTGTTTGACAAGTGGCGTGATGAGTCAAACAAAACTCAGAAATAGTGAATCGTTTGATTTGCTCTGACGCTAATGGCATGTTAGTTAATTGTGAGTCCAGCCAGTTGACAGGTTTCGCAAGATCATAAGTTCGGCATTTTCCACATGAGTTCATGTTTTAATAAGTTACCTGTATCTGGATGACGCTGCTACTAGGGCACTTTGGCCTCCTTTAGAATTACTCAAATAAGTTACTTGATAAACACTTAAACACATTAGGCCTACTGTGCAAATGGCTCTAGCCTACCGGTATACAACTTTGAGGCTTTAATATATGCATATTGATTTTTAACTTTTCATATTTGTATTGGCAACAGTGATATAGCCTAACGTATAATCATTGAGTATAAACGTATTTAAGAGTTGTCACATAATACTATTAGTTGTTACTGATTTTGGTGACATAGTTCGGGTCGCTAACGCTTGGGTTGAGGTAGTGTAGTGCACCTCCAAGGACCTTTTAATAATTTAGTATTAAAAATGTATTATAAAGCAACGAAACTAGAAACAAACAAACAAATTTCATCAACAAAAATGACATTTTACAACCTGCAATGAAAGCATTAATAAAAAACAACCAAACTGCCTTACCGTCAAGCCCAAGGTGGTGTAGTTCGGGCTGCTGACGCTACTCTGCAAAAGCGCTGTTCAGGTAACGATAACCTCCATTAGTGGCTACTCTAGTACGTGTATACTCAATGGTATAATTCAGTTGAATGAATTAATACCATTGGTTGAGCATTAAACCAATCACCGATAGCGTCCTATCCTCTACCTGTCCAGTATGATCCTTCTCTTCGGCCTCAGTTGCCCGCCACCTACACCGGTTTCACCATGTAGGCCCTAACTTATTCCTTACTCTATTAATGTCAACCGGCGGTAGTTCAATGCGACTATTTTTTTCACTAAGAGAAGTGTCAATTCAATGAGTACAAACATGACAGAGGCATGACCACGCATCCACTGGTGCCTCTTTGTAGTGTCCTGTACAGGCCAGTTGTAGGCTATATTAGGCACAGTAATGGCCTTTTGTTTTTTCGTGTTTTATATTTCCTGTTCGTGTTTATGTGTCACCGACGACCTCAACTTGAGTTAACTTATATCACATTTGAAGAAGCCTGATGATGAGATTTTAATTTTTAAACTGGTCGCTATAGACAATACTACGATCACTGACGGACAGGTAAATTTAATATTACAAGAAATCCTAGTTCACTTTGCACAATGAACTTGTTTATAAAGTACTTATTCCCTTGTCCGTGGTTCGGGTCTGATTCAATAAAGATGGTTTACTCAAGTTGAAAACAAACTGACTGTTGAGTCTGCACGCCTACACAACTGATGTTGACTCCAATAAATTATTTGACTCATCACATTACTACTGATAAACAAATTCACTTAACGGTTGTGGAAATTATTTCTACCATTTTTTATAATCAATGAGCCAACAGCCCATGTACAAAGGCAGTTGGAGTTTGCTTTTATTTCTATTGTAGCCACAGATATATATGCAGTGCAAAAGATATTGGAATGCTTCAAACATATTCAAAGAATTTGTCTAGTTTTCATTCTGCAGAGATGAAAATAAGACAAAATCCAACCAAGACATTTTCTCAGGTGCTACAAAATTTGTTTTTTTTTACTTCTAGACCTACTTTTTCAAAGCATACATAACTTATAGGCTAATGCTGAGTGTAAAAACAGGCTAACTATGTATACGCTAAACTAACAAATTGATTCTTGTCAACAGCTGGATCTTCTGGCAGCCATACAAACAGACCAAATTAGAGGCAGTCTAATGTACACATGCGATTATTGTGTTGATTAGACCTGTTTTAATTGTGTTAAGCATGGGCGCCCACATGGGGGTGCAAGGGGGCTAAAAAAATAAGAAATAAATTGAATACCCATAATGTTCTGTAATTCCCTTTATTAAAATCAAAAGTGGGTTTTAAGGAATTTCCAAAAATATGTTTATAATAGTCATTTCTAAAAAATGTTTTAAATTCACTTTTAAATAAAATAAGTAGGGTAGTTGAACCACAGATGTACAATTCTTTTATACTTTAACAAAACTATTCAGAAAACAAAACATAAACTCTCTTGGCTGTTATCTAGGCTTTATTCAACTGTAAATTTATTTTTCTTTATAACTGTTTGGCTTGTGGATTTAATCATATAGATTATACATGATAACTTCAAAAAGCTTATTAATTTTTAATGTTGGTATAAAAAACTATGACACCCTCCTCGATGCACAATATACTATTTTGTTTTGGTTGGTTCTATGTGTTACCAAATAGCTTAAAAATACGTTTTAAAACACTATATTTTCAGAAATTTTTCCGATGTTCGTTAGACCTAGTATAACACACCCCCCGTTCCAAATCCTACGGGCGCCTATGGTGTTATATTTATCTCACTGCCTTATACTTGGTATTGAAAAGTTATGAATTCAAATTAAAAGGATAAAAACAATTAATAGAAAATTTTTATTCCTAATATTCTGGGTCTGTTCTCGCATCTTGATAACTTAGGAGATGACTGTTGTGAAACTGGCAAAAATCCTGGCTGGCAATTTGTGTGCATTGCAGTAGTACATCTTCGGGGCAAACTGCAATCCAACTTTAGATTTGAATTCAGTACAGTACTAATCACAGTTGAAACGTTGATTTCAAAGATGGATTGCTACAACGCACCTGTAATGTCAGCCAAAATTATACCAGATCAACGACAGAGTCATCTGCTGAAGACCTAGATTCGACGCTCTACTTTTACCATGGAATTTAAAAAAAAGTTTAATCTTGTGTTTAAGAACATTAACGACGGTGGCAACATGTGTTTGGAGCTGGCATTGGAAGGGGAGCGATTGTGTAAAGCAGGGGATTGTCGTGCTGGCGTGGCGTTCTTTCAGGCAGCGATTCGTGCTGGAACAGATGACCTTCGTACCCTCAGCGCCATATTCAGTCAGCTTGGCAATGCATACTTCTACCTGGGTGATTACAACAAGGCCATGCAGTACCACAGTCATGACCTCACTTTAGCAAGGTATAGATCTCCATAGCTGGCATGTTGGCATGATTTAGTAGTACCATATTTATACCCTTACAATTGTCTTAAATTAATGTGTTCTATGATTCTCAGAAATTTCTGATTTATCAGCGAGTCCTTTATAAAAAAATTTAAATACCCAAGCCATCGGTTGGGTATTATCATGACAATAAATGATATCTCATTGTCATGATATAAGTTTTTTCCAAAAATATGTTTAACTTGGAATAAACACCTGTGATTTTACATTGCTATGTATCTACAGATTTTTAGTTGGGTTTGATTGTTTGTTTGAGGACTTTGTCGAGTGGTTGATATAGCATTATTATAAGAATGAAGTAGGTACTAACTATTAATGATGGTTAATGATACATAATTAATATTTTCTTGGCCATATTCCTATCCATTTAGGGTTTTTTTTAAGTCCTACTCACCCGACAACATTCTTATTATTTACCTGGATAAAATATTGATTCTTTAAATGTTTTTCTTAATGTGCATGTAAAACCTGTCTATCTTTGTTTGAAGCTAAAATGAAGAAAGTATGTCATATTTCCAATAATGTTAATTTTAACTTTTTTTGGATGGTTAATTTTCAACCTAAATGACTTTCAGGACAATGGGAGACAAATTGGGAGAAGCTAAATCCAGTGGAAACCTTGGGAACACGTTGAAAGTTATGGGAAAGTTCGACGAGGCGATGATATGTTGCAAGCGACATCTAGAAATATCCAGGGAGCTCAACGATAAGGTAACTCTAGATAGCCTAAATCACTGGTTACATATTTTCTCAAGTTGACTACATTTCTATTCGACTTATTTATGTTGACTATTTATGTTTGGTCCTTCGATGTAACTGTTTTTATTTATTCATTTATCTGATGTTTTTATTATTTATAAATTCAGTTAGTTACGTTTTATTTGGGATAATTTATTTTGTGGTTGTATTATATTATTACTATTAGTAACAATATTGTTTGTTTGTTTGTATCAATTTTGCTTTGATTATAAAAAGGTTACTAAAAAAAGTCATTACAAGTTTAATGATTTAAAATCCATATTCCTATAGTAAAATTTGCTTAAGCTTTTATTAAAGTCTACTACGATTGAGTTACGTAACGTAAGGAGGGTAGGGGAGCGGGGGTTTGCTCAAGCGTTATGGTGCATTGCAGGGGGAGGGGGGTGTTTAAAATGAAATGGCCCCTTAAACCCAGATCTCCTAAAAAATGTATCAACTCTGTATTAAATGGATCAGTCTCACATCCTGTTACAATATAAGTACCTAGGGTTAAAGATGTAGTAGGACAGAAGTAGCTATTATGTGACTCATGCAGTGACTGTTCTCTCGTTCCTCTAATAACCTTAATTAACACCCTAGTTGAATGACCAAGTCACTTACCTACTTACGTCATTTACTGTCAGCAGTGTCTTGTACGGCAAAGAATAGACATAATTTTGTAATGTAATGAAAAGAGATAAAATGAAATCAGTAGCAAAACCTATAATGTGAATTTGGTTTTCCCCAAGCAGTGTATCAAAATCAATGAGCGTGGTTTTTCATCACACCATCATTATGTGAAATTATTGCTTCAAATATGCATACATATTTAAAGTGGTTGGGAGCAAATTGGCCTATTTGTAGAGTGAGGGTCTTTAGTCCCGAGGTCCTAGTTCAAATCCCACAAATTGCCAATATTTTTTATCAAGTGGTAATACTGCAAACCCTCTAGGCTCAGCCTGATGTAATGCATAAAACTGAGCTAGGAGGACTCCTGTCAAAATTGTGTTTTTGACCCTCAAAACTTAAAATTTCCCAAATTTTCTCTAGACCATTTTGAAGAGCCTAAAAAACAAATAATTTAGTAGGCCTGTATTGAAGTGTTTCTGTAGTCTGCAGGTCCTCTTTTCTTTGCGTCTGAACATGTTTTCTATAATAAACTAACATTTACAACATTTTTCCTCTATGTTTGATTCACTCCTTCAATTTTTACCAATTCAAGTATTGGTTGGACTTTTGTTTCTCCTATAGTTGAGTGAGGGCCGAGCGTTATACAACTTGGGGAACGTTTACCACGCCAAGGGAAAGCACATCGGCCGAGTGGGTCAGCAGGACCCGGGAGAGTTCCCAGAGGATGTTAAGGCTTGTCTGCTGCAAGCTGTCCAATATTACGAGTAAGTAAACTGTTTTGGATGGTAAAAAAAAAAACTTTTTAACGACTAAACTAAATGAATAAAAAAAACATCGATATTTTGTGTTACCTTGAAAGGCTTGTAGTTTTGAGAAAAGTTTTTAAGGGATCCCCTAGGTGATTCTCATTTAAAAAATCCAAAGTTCTGTTGGTCCTTAATCATGATAACTTGTCACTAAAGTAAAGTCAACAGTTTTACTCTGAGGTTATGGAAAACAATGATAAGCTACTAATTTTAGATTAAAGGCGCTCTAAATTACAGAAAAATTAGTTAATTTGATTTTTCATCCTCTGAAGTTTAATGTAAGAAAGCATAGTGAATTCATTCTACAGGGACCCATTCAACTATGAAAAACATAATACTGTAGAAGAGCCTTGAATGCAGTCTGTGTTAAGCCTTGTTGGAGCTTAGAATTTTGTGGTGAAACATTGAAGATAAGGATTAGCCGTTTCCGATTCCTAATCTCAAACCTGCAATACTGGGTCGGTAATATAGAGGAATCATCAATTTTAAATTCAAGAATCTCCCTTGATTGCAACAGGATATATCACTCAATATTCAGTTATTTTTGAATAAATAATCATTTATGTAATACAGGGTGTTTATAAAAGAATGCCGGGATTTTAAACGGTCGTTGCTCGGAGACTATTCAAGATAATTAAATGATTTGAACGTAAAATTGAAGGAAAAAGAACAAAGTTTTTTCTCATACTTTGATACAATTTGGAATAACTTAATAAAATTCAGATGTTCATCAATCTTATATGAGCGTAAAACTGGCTAAGTCTGTACGCTTAGGGCGATCGGTGTGTTTATCTGATGTCTTAACTGAATCTTTTTAGGCACAAAGACTCTATCCCCTAACAAAAACATTAAAACAACAAAATGTAATCAGAACTTGTTTACCCCAACCATTCACTGTTAGTATATTTGTAACACCATCACAATGTTTAGTGTTAACATATCAATGGTTAGTTGTTTAGTTTCAATTGGATAAGGCCTAGTTCTACCTACATCACATGCATGTGGGTAATTTAACCCTCCGAGTGTCCATAGTTTAGGCCTTAATGTCCACCTATTTTTGGCGCATTTGCAAGGTTTTATTAAAACGGATCTGAGAAGCTTAAAACAATGTTAATTCTACTGTTCTATATACCATTTTGTTTGGAAAATCATGGGCTTCAATATCATACATAAAACATAAGGAATATTTGTTTCAAAAAAATTTTTTAGGTAAAAAGAAATTATTTTGGAAAAATTGAAAAAAAAAATAAGTTCGCGCTCAATGAAATTGTATAAATTATAGGCCTATAAATATTTGAAAATAGCCACTTTGTTCTAAATTTTATGAGGATTTGCAAATAAATAAGTTATGGGCAAAAAACAGATTTCAGTACATAGCGTTTAGCTAAGAATGCATAGCCTAACCATAGCTAGGAATCTGGCTGATAATTAACATCAATGTCACTACCAACTTCATCCGGATCGTCAATAAGTCCTTCAACATCACTAATATCATCTTCTAGTGCATTACGTATATCACTACTGTCCATTTTTACCACTAAAAACGACGATAAACGTACAAAAACACACAAGTCACCGATGTGAAATAACCAAGTTGTCTAAAACACGAACGTCAGCTGTCTGCTACAATTACGATCGGCTCGGAGAACATAAAGCGCTTAGAGACAGACCTCTGGAGAAAGCTTAGAATCTAACAAAAAGAACGATACCTAACTCGATCCAGTTCAATCCGATTCAGTCAGTCATAGAGCCTTCGCCGTAAACGATGTTCGTGTGTCGAAAAATCGACGCGTGACACTACACAAAGTGTGTCGTGAGTCGATTTTTCGACGAGTGACGCTCGGAGGGTTAATGTTGGGATGATCTATAATAAAGTAATGTGTCCTGAACATTATAGGTTATAAATTTTCATTTCTTATTTTAATTTGTTCTCTTCAGACAACATTTAGTGTGTTATAATAAATCAGTACGTCTAAATATCCTTTAATTTCTTATATTTTTAGTGAATTTCCCATCTAGGGAAGTAGCTTATTACCATAAGTCTCATGGCAAGACCTGGACCCGGGACCCATTTCCTTTTTTGTTGTAAGGTACCCAGAGGCTAAAAACACCATCCGTTCAAATTCATAAAAATTAGTGATGGGTCGGTACCTTAAGGTCAAATGTTGGTTCCACCAGTTCTTGGGAAAAGTACTGGGACGGAGAATCGATGGTGATAAACATCATGAAGTGTTGATTTAGGTATGTTCAACTGAAGACTTCGTTGGGCAATCTATGTTTTCAGGCTTCTGATGCAGGATTGTCGGATTTCTTGGACTATGTCATCGCTTGTTTTTAGCCAGCCAGGTGAACGTCTTTTCAAAACACAACGGTGCCACGAAACTCATTAAACCAGCATCAAATTTCTTTATCATCAAGTAGATTTAAATGTAGTTTAATTTAGCAATCAATATGAACTCTATGAACCACAGATTACATTCTGTGCCGTCTGTTGCGCCGTAAACATTGCAATGGCGACTCGCGTCAGACGTGTGAGTCCCAATGGCGGCCTACCACCCCGCACCTGTTTTGTGCATGCCAAGGTCAAAGTTTCCTCCCATGCTACACGGGAAACAATACTTAGTCATTTTATCTTCAATTTGACATATAAAATGTTTAGGCTAGTTAGCCTACATTGAATAGTATCCAAGCAATTGCCATTTAAAATCCCGGCATTCTTTTATAAACACCTTGTATATTTACCAAATAAATCATTCATTTAATTTTTTTAAATTGTTCTGTAAATAATTTAATGATCCTTCCTACTCTTAAATCACTCTGAATCATTGTGTGTATCTTAACTTTGTCTAGAACGGGAATTGCATCTGACTGGGCTGGCAGTTTCAATCTGTTTGCTGTACTGTTGATACCGTTGCTCGGCTTTGCATACTGACTGCTTGATCTGTCTCTGACACCTTCATTTGTGTTAAATATATCCAACATTGTTTGCATTAATGTAAGGGTAAACAACAGCGAGTAAGACTTGCTGTTGATTTCTCTTCGTAATGTCTTTTCATTGATTGACCTCTGACCTCTGTGGTGTTTTAGAGAGAACCTTGCGTTGATGAGAGAACTCAACGACACAGCAGCACAAGGCCGGGCGTGCGGCAACCTCGGTAACACCTACTACCTGCTGGGCGACTTCAAACAAGCCATTAAATACCACCAGGAGGTTAGTAAACATTTAGACAATAGAGCGTGCTTTTATATTAATCTTTTGTGATAGTATGTTTATGGAATCTGATCCCGTCCTCAGGTGATTGAGTACTAAAAACATAACAAGAATAATACCGGGACATAAACCCAGCCCAAGCTGGAAAATCACCAAAGAAAAACCATAGAGAACCGTATATAGTAATCAAAACATGATACAATTGCATCAATTTGTACTGATTGTAGTTATGTTTCAAGATTTTTTTTCTGATCTGAGGACTGAATCAGATTCAAGATTCTAAACATCGTTAAAAACCAGTGTTTTTACTAATCGTTTTAGATATTGTCCACAATCATTCTTCAAACAACATTTAGTGTGTTATAATAAATCAGTATGTCTAAATATTCTTTAATTTCTTCTATTTTTAGTGAATTTCCCATCTAGGAATAAGCTTATTATATTACCATATGTCTCATGGCAAGACCTGGACCCGGGACCAATTTACTTTTATGTTGCGAGGTACCCAGGGGCTAAAAACACCATCCGTTCAAATTCATAAAAATTAGTGATGGGTTGGTACCTTAGGTCAAATGTCGGTTCCACCAGTTCTTGGGAAAAGTACCGGGACCGAGAATCAATGGTTAAATGTCGGTACCGATACCTTCGGTACCAAGTTAATTGGTTATACTAGTGGAGCCCCGTCGAAATCGACGGTTAATCTTGAGGTTTTATGTAAATTCAGCTAACTGCGATAGATAGAGTGAAGCCATTAAAATCTTAGTTAAATGAAGGGAGAATAAGCATAATAATAAGTACTGTATGACGATTGTGTTCCCTAAAAACGTGATTGTTGAATTCGTTTAACACAATATTTCCTACCTTTTTATCGGCTTTAGGTTGCCCAAAAAGTGTTTTTGGAGTCTTTATAATTTATTGTTTGTTCATGAGTTTGTTTCATGTCAAAGCCACTTTCACTATATGGGAGAATGAGTTCATATAATTAGTCTTTCATGTTACGGAAAGAGTCAATATTTATTACTAACAACTAATTCCACCTGCTTTAGAAAAATCATTCAGATTGTATCCAGATTTATAAGTAAATCTTCATCTTTGGTCATAAAAATACAGAATATTATCAGCATTTAAATAAGTTTTTTTTGTATTAGATAAAAATATCTGACTATCCAGATAGCAGTAACATTCTTACTTCGATCCAAGCAATTTTAATTCCTTCTCTTGCCACATCGACCCATGTATTTAATCATCCTGTTCTTACTTGATAATTCATTAACTTATGGGGTAGTTTTGCCTGGCCATATCGACCACATAAAGCTGTGCATGTTTTTCGTGGATGGAATGAACCATAATTGTAGGAAATTTGATCACAAACCTTGAACATTTGCGGAACCAAATCCATAACCTAATCCAGCCTTGGTAACAAACCACGCAAATGCGATGAGATGTGATGACACTGTTGTGTTTCCGAATGTTTTGTATGTAGTGAGGTTTAGATGTGTTGTTCGACCTAGCTACATGTGTACATCAAAGTAAAAACCCTGTAGGCCTTCACATTTTTTTAAATACCTGAATTGACATTAGTTCAATTACTTCACCAAAACCATAGATGAAACATACTCCGTAGTTAGTATATTCCAAAACTTGAACACAGCTCTCATCCTCAACGTAAGTTACTCATCTATGACACAATTTTCAACCCGATTATCGAAAACTTTCATACCGATAAATGAATTTCTGGTGTTCTTTCTTGAATTCAAAAATAAATGGTGATTGAAAGTAGGAAAAAAGGCAAGTGCCAACCTTACAATATATATAAGCTAGCCCGATAAGGAATTAATTATATGTTCCTTTGAAAATAATATGTCACACTTATTTCATAATTTAAAATTTTCTAAGAGCAATAAAGCATAGATTTTTGAACAAAACATTTAAAACGTATCATAAATTCATCATTTTGTTGAAACTATAAAAAACTTGCCATGCAGTGGAGAATCAATTTTAAATCATAAACTAGTGGCTTGTAGGGACATAAGTCCCTAAAAAGCTGAAATGTAAAACAACATATTGCAATTCCGGTATTTAAACAAACTCAGAATAACATTATCTATGTGTCAGAATAGGCATCCCTACACCATATCTTTTGTGTAAAAACCAGTTTGTTGTTCTTCTTTGTTTGCTTTTGTTGATGTCATTTTCAATTAATAATTTGAATCACTCCAGTGGTTTAACATGAAAAGACAGCAAACATATCATTGTTTGTGAATAAATACTGGTTAACTAAGGTAGCTTTGGTCTTGTGGTTAATGAGGATAAATAAAAGCTTCTCTGTTTGGAATTTTAGAAATTAATTGGAGGTTCGCCTTCAGATGAATTGAAGACGCCTGCAATTTCATCTGCAGTAAGCTTATTATACCTACGACGATCCATATTTATCCTGTCTACAAACCTAAGTTCTAATTCACTGTCACCTTGTACAACCATTTCTTCCGAAGCTCTTTTGTAAATTTGTGCAAATGGATTTTCTAATAGAATTTCAGCTAGTTTTGACAATATTTCAGGTTATAAGTCACTATTTTCTTGACGCCTTTGACGAATTTCTGTTGCTGTTGATGTGTCAATAATGTACAATTGGCCATACACGGGGTCTTCATCATGTTGAGGCAGCAAATCTGAGATTGAACGATAAATCTGTCCTTGAATTTTGAAACAGTATGGTCCTTTTCCTGGAATATCTTTCTTACTGGCTGAAAAATAAGCAAAAGCCATCGCACTGTTGTATTGTCGAATGAATTTATACAGTTGTGGGCTCTCTTCAAACCAATGTTTAAGTTCTACATTAGTTTTTGGCTGAGGAAGGTTAATAAGTCCGTTATGGCAACATGTCATAAAATGATTATTCGTTAGTTCTTCTCTAAAATGAAGAGCACTACATTGAATGCACTCTTGGTCCAGTAATCCTGCATCATGGATATTTACATTTCTCTCGTCTACCATGGGTCTCCTAAAAAGGGGTTGTAACATATCTTGATTAAGTTCGTCATTATCTACTCTTGCTCTTCTACGCGCACTGTCATTCCTATGAACAGCTCCCCGCCTTTGTGGTCTTCCCCTGGCGTTCATATTAATTACAGTACTTATAATGAAAAGAATATATATCCAGCAGCCTACATACCAAAACATCTTGAATCCCTGGTGATTTTATAAAAGTACGATCGAATATGATTACTCTACGTTGTATATTCACTGCACTAAAAAAATATTTACTTACGAAGGAATGCAAATACACCATTTTAGAACCAATGACATTTGTAGGTTATTTTAGTTGTATATATTAACACAACATTAACCTTAAAATGTGTAGAAATATAAAGAAAACAACATCATTTAAAATAAACTTGAACATATGATTTAAAAATAAAAACAAAACAGAAGTTAGATTTAATTTCGACTCTTTGATTATTTATACAGAATATTTATTCTATGTCGTTTATTCCTTTAACACGACAATAACGTAAAAGCATGAAAAAATGAAACTTGAGTATATGATTTAAATATAAACAAAGAATGGAGACATTTTTCCGATTAATCTTCAAGATTTCAGTTTTATTATAGTATACATTTCATAGTTGACTGGCTAAAAGTAAACCAAATGCGTGTATTGATCACTGTTTTCAAGATATAGCACGATCAGCTGTATTGAAGTAAACAGAAATCAGCAGTAAATGACTTCTGTTTTAATTTCAAAAGATGTAAACAAATTAAACCCCATGTTGTTTTAATGGGAAAAGTTTTATTCTGTTGCGAATTTATGGTAAAAAAATAAGAAAAATGAATAGTTTTCCCTCAAAATTCACGTCAAGACCTTTAAAATAAGACCCCTCCCATCCTTCTACGGCCATCCAGTCACTCACAATTTCTTTACAAAAATTTGACTTACGGAATTATATATATAGATAATAATGTAAACATTTAATTTTGACAGTTTCAGTAGACTTTTGAATACAATTTTAATATTAACAGCTGGTTCATTAAAAGTAGTGTAAAATTATCCATATGGTCATAATGTAAACAAAATTGCTGAGTGAACTTTAAAGGCCTCTGGGGCAGAGCCGCAAGGAAATTTACCTTGTTTCTCTTTTGAGGGCTCACCTACAGACCAATACCTTTCTTTAGACACCCCTACTAAGTTTCTACACCCAGCCGTTCTCTCAAATTAGCTGTGACAAAAACCCCGTTTTCCTCCATAAGAATAATATGGGCTGGGACTTTAAAGGCCACTGGGGCAGAGCCCCGAGGGAATTTACCACGTTTCTCTTTTGATGGCTCATCTACAGACCAAGACCTTTCTTTAGACACCCCTACCGAGTTTCTACACCCAGCCGTTCTCTCAAAATAGCTATGACAAAGAAAAACAGTTTCAAATTAATATATAGATTTTCATTTACTTATTTACAACATTCAAATTGTCAACCATGATGATTATTTTTTACTTTAGGCTATTTGAAAGGGCATATTTTAATGAAATATTATCAATAGTAGGTTATAAGATGATTATTTCAGTGTTAGTTGGATAAGTTGTCATCACTATCATCAGCTGATGGAGTGGTGCAAACATTGTCCAATCAAACGAGTTCTCAAACCTGGAATCCCTAATTTGGCATTGTGATTTTTAAACATTGTTAAAACTACATCTATGACTCATACGGCGATATTGATAGACAGAATACATGTGAATAGTAAACTATAGTCATTGTATGATAATTGTTGTTTAACTTATCTTAATCTGAACATTACTAATCCGAACAATGTTTGGCCATATATTAATTTAAACTAGAGGTCGTCCAGTGGTCGAAACTCGACCAAAAATATGTAATGTACAGACTTCTCTATTTTCACCCCACACTGTAAATAAAACATGTCATTGGAGTTTCTTCCATTTGTTTTGATTTTCTGTTTATATTTTGTTGTTATTTCGTCATCAGCATGGCAACCCATAAGATCCATGTTAATTTTTCAAATTTTTAAACTCATTTTTTGTGTTTATTTTTGAGCCTATTTTAATTTATTAAGGGATTCTGCACATCTACAGGAAAATATCTTTCCAACAGTATGCGTAGATTTTCCCAGTGATGCACACGAGCTGAGAAAAAAGGTTTTAAAGAAACATGCTTGCCTATTAATATATAGATAGATTAGCAAAAATCAGCTGTAATATTTTTGTATTTACTCTTCTCTTCTCTCCATGCAAGCAGACAATAGTCATTTAACTTAAATTTGACGTTAACAATTAATTTTTTCCAGAGATTAAAAATCGCCAGGGAGTTTGGTGACAAAGCAGCAGAAAGGAGAGCTAATAGTAATCTGGGTAACTCGCACATATTTCTGGGAGAGTTTGAGACAGCGGCAGAGCACTACAAGTGAGTCTAATATAAAAAAAAAACTGTTAAAAATCACTGAATTAATTTTTTTTTGTCATAGAAAACACCCAAAGATTAAGATCTTCCATCAGCTCATGTTGAAAAGACTGGTTTTCAACAATGCAATTCAAAACAATTCCTTGTTTAGTACTATTTGAAGCTCACACAGCTTAATTTTTTTCATATTTTATTAATCCCATTTCCTACATAGTTTACATATTTTTAAATTAATCACAAATTACAAAACTAAAGGAAACTGCAACATAACAAACATGTTAAACATCTCACATCATCTAATAACTATTTTCAATGAACCATTATTTATTTCTCTTATTTCATCAAAATATATTGTATTAGTAAAGAAATTTTATACAACTGAATAAAATTGCAACATTTTAGGCATGTGGGTCATTTAGACTAAAAAAAAAACAGTTGAAAATAAAAACATTCAACAAGTTTGTCGTATTGATAAAAGATGTTATTTTATACATTACTAGCTGTGTACCCGTTCTACGCACGGGGATCTTATAATATTCAGTTGAAACCTTCTTATATAAAGAACAGCAGTTGGTTTGCATATTTTAAGATATGCTGGCCAAACTATTATACATAGCTTCATTTTATGTTGTTTTTTGTTGTTCCGGATCGGTATGACAATCAATAAAAGGTTAAATTACCTCTGTGTCTGCCGGTCGATCCTATAACGGTAGGCTTACTTTTATTTTTACTATCTGATCTCGTTTGCATGGCTCAATCACGTCCTGGTTGAAGTTCGTTCGCTACGCTCACTCACCTGTATGTTGGAGCTCGTTCGCTGCGCTCACTTTCCTTCAGGTTAGCTCGTTCGCTACGCTCACTCGCCTCCAGGTTGCAAATTAGCTGTTGTCATAAATGTAAAAGAAATAATAGTGCTAGTGCTGCACCCTGTTGGTAATCCTTGTAACTTTAATGCTATTGAACATCACAGAACAGAACCAACTTGTTTAATTGAAACAGCTGTTAAGATTCAATAATTTCATTTCTCATAAGGTTAACATGGGCTTCCAGAAATTCCACGTCAAAAATCGACAAAAACTTGATTTTCAAGGGTTTACTGTTAAATATCTAACTGTCTCATATTCGATGAAATACGTCTAAAACCATCTCATATATGTATAGTATTTGGAAAATAAGTTTCAGGCGGGACAGTGCTATAGTTATTGAGGAGTAGTTGTAATAAAGTGCGTATTTTAGCGTTACCAAGAGAATGACAGATAGACAGACAGACAGACAGACAGACAGACAGACAGAAATTGAGATAAGGTTTGATTCGGTTTCTCTGACCTATGAAATGTAAAAATAACCAAAAAGTTCATTATTCTAAGCAATGTACAGACAAAACTCTAATTTTATTTATATAGATAGATAGCCAAAATTTATAGATTATCACCATTGGTTGTGAGGGTGTGTTTGAAAATGCTATATTAGCAGTAAAATTAACATTAAAAATTGGTCTCATGTAACTAAAAAAAACTGTTTCAATCAGCTGTTTTAAGTTACCCAGCTAACTATACAACCATTGTTGAACTATTAATAGGCTATTGAAACACATGGTTTTAACTGTGGGGGGAAATTTGCTTGAGAGCCAATCACACCCTGAATTACATTGAGTAATAATTATCCATTATTCCTTCCATAATTACATTTTAAATTACTTTTGAAAACTTCTCAATACTGTATTTTATTTTATATTTATTGAGGGTAAAGTAGGCCTATAATGTTATAATCTTGTATTATACCAATGATTTCCCATAGCGCAAAGCTCAACCGTCTGGTACTTAGTAGTTTAGTGTCAGTCAACTTGAGTGACATGGTATTCATTCACTACAGTTGTGCTACAAGCTGTGTTACTGGGTCGTTAGTGAAGCATGGATTGTAAATGTTTAACTGATAACGGAACAGTAGTGTAAGCTTGTGTCACTAACACCATAACTCGTGTGTTATCATTTTGTGGTAGTTCTTAATATTGCGGTAAGTAAGCTAGAGGTTATGTCTTTGACTGTGTTGAGTATTTGAGGATAATGATGTAAAAAAGGGTGCAAGTGCTGAGGTTTTAATGAATTTTGTTGGGATAGCAGGTTCAATAGAATGGGAAAGATTCCATCATCAAACAAAATAAACACCAGATGTTATACATCAGAATCATCTGAAAATATCTTTGTTCCCTACTCAAACCTTCCATAGTTAAAAGTACTGTTAGTGTATGTAAGATATTTTAATATCTGTGTAATGTCAAGTTGTGTAATTATTGCACCAGAATGGACTCATTGTTATTCGGGTGAGCCTGCTGTCCTGAAAGACCTTAAAAATATTATAAAGCCTATTTATTTGTTGACAATATTATAGTCTTAAATATTATGTTATGATCTTAATCTTAGTATTACTATTAAAATACAAAATATCATTATGAAATATTTAGGTACATTTAATTTAATTTTTTTTCTTATTGCTACAGCTCATGTTTTTTATTAAATACTAAAAGAAGTTTTTCGACTTACTTAAACAAATTATTTTGTTTACCAAGATCCTTATTATCTGTATAGACTTGTAAGGATAAATGGGCCAGGGGTGCAAGGGGGGGTTACGCAAGGAAGAGACAATTCCCCCCCCCCACAAGGTATGTAGGCGAAGAGGGGCGAAATCATCAATCATCTCTCGGGCCCATAGCGCATCACATGCAAACAGCGGGCCTACTTGAAAGTAGCAGTGTTGTTAGTGAAAATTAGGTTTTATACATCCCAAATGATGACTACAAACATGTCAACGTAAAATGATGGTATGTTATCAGGCGAACTCTAGTCCTCGCTCAGGAGCTGGGCGACAGAGCAGTAGAGGCTCAAGCGTACTACAGTCTGGGCAACACATACACACTGCTGAGGGACTACCCAACAGCCATAGACTACCACATACGACACCTCATCATAGCTCAACAGCTGATGGACCGGGTTGGCGAAGGTATGAATAAGTTTTCGTTAAGTAATAAGTATATTTTTAGGATACGAGAATTTTTGCACAATCCAAAAAGTTATGTATTATGAATTTTTTCCTAATACTACATCACAAGTTTGAAATTGTACATTTTTACTTTTGCAGGTCGAGCTTGCTGGAGTTTAGGCAATGCACATTCAGCAATGGGCAACCACGAGAAAGCGCTCTATTTTGCTACAAAACATTTGGAAATTTCAAAAGAGGTGAGAATTTGTCCATTTTTAAAATATCTTATTTTCTTCGTAGTGTGACATTTTCCTGACTTTTAAGATTTTTAAACCGGAAAGTCTCTAAAGGAAATAGTCAAACAAATTTTCAATGTGTGTTATTTATGAGTCTTTGCCATTTTACTAAGGCAAAGGATCAAATGTTAACAACAATTTATCAAACAAGGAAAGCTGAATTTTCATATGTGGGAGACTGCTTTATTAGACATGTATTTTTTTTAATTCCTCGTTTGCATAGTATTGTTATTTTTAAGTCACTTGTTACATACTTAATGCAGCTGCCCTTTCTGTCAATATTTTATTTCCTAAGCCTTGTATCACACCAGTAGAATATAATGTTTAATATGTAGGTTTACACAGCTGTGTCAGTCAGTTACAGTATTCCCTCCAGTGGCATTGAACAATTGGTCACCATTGAGTAAGCAATGCACCTGCACTATGTTTAATTTTGAATGTATCTTAATGTCACTTTATCTATTTTATTTAAAACAATCAACACAAAACAAATTAATCAGTTAAAAGTATTTTGAACGGTTACATGTACGGCTACACGCATCTAAAAATAATTGTAGTCGCATTGTAGTTGATGATTCAAGTTTATGGTAAGCACACTTGGTAAATTGCCTTGATATCTTCACACTAAAAACAATATTTATCCATTTCAGTGGATCCTCATTTAACGGCCACTGTTTTACTGCCACATCACATCAAAAATATTTATTTTGTCATATCCATGTAGGTGTTTGTCAAGTTAATAATAATATTCAGTAGATAAAATGATACTTTGTGTAATTCAATATGACACTACACTGTGTTTTTTCTAATTAAGCATTATAATGTAGTCAATATTACAAACGACTAGTATTCAAACAGTAGTAATTTATAAAGGAATTTCTGTTATCCGTTTTCAGTTAACCATCATAGTTCTAATCCCAATGGTTATGGTTAATAGAGATTTTACTGTACCAGCATTGTTGTTCACATCATTGTTAGTGCCTGTGTCCTTTGGTATTCTACTTAGTAGTGTAAGTTAAGTCTTCAAGTTGTTTATAGTTTACATGGTGTTGGTATTGCTATAACCAGCTGATATCTAGTTGTTGATTATGTTATGTTATGATTTTTTAGAATAAACTACACCATCTTGTTTCAAGTTGATTATGTAATTAAAATAGTTTAATTAATACAAAATGAACACATGGTTTGTATTGTGCAGTTGGGTGACCCGCTGGGACAAGCCACTGCTCAGATGAACGTGTCAGATCTGCGCAAGGCACTAGGTCTACCCGCGGGTGAGCTGTCCCCAGATAGTGAGCAGCTGGTGGCGTCGTTCACACACCCGTCGCCGGGACTGCGCAGATACCGGGTGAGACGGGAGAGCATGGAACAGCTGCAACTGATTAAGGTAGCACGGCTGTGCACTGCCTTTGCTGCTCTTTATGTACAAATGGCTGACTACCTAGGCCAGAGTTAATACCCCTAAATATCTGAAATTACTAATAAAAGCTAATAATTTCACCTCTATAGTTTCTTTGAAAAATTATACTCAACTATTTTAGCATAAATTTAGTGGTTACGTTAGAGTTGTTAAGATCAAAAATATCCTAGCCTATGTCAAACATTCAAAACAACAGCTAAGACAACAACAATTGCGTAGGCCTCACACTTCACTTTCCAAGTGAAGAAGACACTTGAATATTGGTCTGAAGAATTGAATGAGTCTGAACAAAGCTAAACAGATTATCCATTCCATAAAGATCGTGCATTGATAGTCAGTGGACCAATAGTAATTTATTCTAAGTACGTCGCTTTCTTAGTGAAATTAAAACAATCCTTGGCCTATCTGCTTCGTTATTGATAAGAGGGACTGAGGTTGATGAACTAGTCCTTAAACGTTTTTACATTATTCTGAGAAATTTGTTTATATGTTTACATTGCTATATAATGATAAATTGTTATATGATAATAAACATTTTTAAGTAAGTAGGCTAGCTCAATAAATAAAAGACACACCTTTCACTTTCTTACCGGACAAACTTAAGTCAGCCATTTGTACAGTTATATGTTAATCGTCAACAATCAACTCATTTTCTGCTTCACTTTTATTTTTGTTTCTTATCGTTTCTTTGTAGATATAAAGAAAAGTTAATAAGTATTGGTCGTTAGTTAGCTTATGTTAGCGGTCATGTAGATTGGACTGTTTACTTCTGTTATAAAATTCATTCTACATATATAGGGTGTCCCAGGAAGAGGTTTAGACCTTTTATTTTATATTATTAGCCCATTTATGCACCGACAGCTTTGAAACTTAACATAATTTATGAATGAGGTAGGTATTGAAAGTGTTTTGTGAAAATTTCAGCTTTCCAACATTTATAGAAACAAAATGCAATTATTAAAAATTTTACCAATTTGGTTCCTATAAAATTTACTTTCTTAAGTTATTACCTGATTTTTTACTGTGTTAATTTTTAATCTTGTTGTTAAACAGCTCTTTGATTGAGGAATACTGAACCATAAAGAGATTAACCCAACCTTCTAAAATTCAGTTTTAACTAAACTAAAGTTAAAAAAAAATACTTTATTAGGCTAATATTAAACAAAAAGTGAAATGATGCACAAAGTATGTTATTGCTTTTGGTAACATAACAGAAGCAGTCATGCAATTCTTTTTATGACACTACCTACTAGTTTTTAACAAAATAATACACCACTTAGTTGTTGATGGATTTATAGGTGGTTCAACGCATGTAATGGCAACATAAAATTGTGCAATCGTATTCTGTTGGTCACTAAAGCAATATCCCACGCACAACACTCCACTCTTTGATTAACATTAAAAGTCATTCTTTTTACCTCAGTTTCAGTTAAACTGCTCTAGAAAGGGTTAGGTTATGCCTTTATGGTTCAATAAACATTCTTCAATCAAACAGCAGCACAAAAATAAGTTTGAAAATTACAACATATAAAACAAATCAGGAAAATAACTCAAGAAAGTTATTTTTATATGAAGCAAATAGATGACATTTTTGGTTTGTCACATTTTTGCTTCTTCAATATAATCATAAGAAGCTGAATTTTTAACATAACATTTTCAAAACTTATTTTTACAAATTGTGTAAAGTTCCAAAGTTTTTGATTCGTAAATCAACTAGTTATACAAAATCAAATGTCTAAACATCTTTGTGTGATAGACGCTATATTTTATAATTACTACCTTATTTTTGTTTCCTAGCTCTACTACTTTGATATTCATATTTATTTGAGCCAATTATTTTGTAAAACAAAAACCAATTGGTGTGTCAATGTTGCATTTAATGTATTTATACCTGCCCAGGAACTTTCAAGGGATGCTACCCTTCAGGTAATTCTGTCCAGATGGTTTTCCCTTACGTCATTTGTAAAAGTAGTTTACTTAGGAACTTTTATATTTATATTTTTTACTCTGACTATTTTGCCTGAAATATGTCTTTTTAAGGAATAAGAGTACAGAAAAATTACAGTCAAGGGGGCCTATGGATGTACAGTAAAAGGTACAACAGCAAACTCAAACTGATCTTTCATCCTGATAGGACTTTAGGACTTGTATCAGTAATTTATTTCAATCCAGTCTGAAGAAGTCTTATTTTGGTACCAAATATCAGCGTTACAGTAGATTCCCTCTAGTTCGGCCTCCTCGGGACCGGATCACTGGCCGGACTACAAAACGGCCGGACTAACCGGATGTAGTGCATTTTACATATCAAAATACAAATATTAGTATTGCGCAATCGTGATATGTTAAGTCATTAACCCTGGTTCAGTAATAAAAACTGTAACGTTTAAAATCACGCTTACTCGAGCAAAATAAAAATTACACTACCCTGTACGTACAACAATAAATCACGTAAAGAACAGAACAATAGAAAGTCTAGTACTGCAAGCTACTGCTACCGTAGTCAGCATAGGCTACTACTACATGTTGTTTCAGAACATAAGAATGTCGATAAAAACATTAGATAACTCATAAAACAGCATAAAATCATAGTAGACTACTTAGTCTTAAAGATAATAACAACAGTCGTAAAATAGGATAAAGATAACAATGGATGACGTAAAACACTGCTTATTCTTTCTTCTTTGTTCTTCTATTCTTTCTTTGGTTTCTCTTCATCCACACATTCAACAAGTTGCCATAATTACTAACCACCCAATCACAAACTGTTGTGAGATAGCAGGCGCACAGCAGACATCAGTTGTGTCTTGTGTAAAGAGCAGATGATTGTCAGTGCAAGCGGATAGCTTGACCTTGAAGCTAACGATGGCTATTTCTTTATTTTGCTTTAATTAATTTTTGTCAAATAAACCATGGTGTTTCAAAGACAATAATAGGAGAACCTACCGCATAAAAAAATGGTCCAAAATATTTAATTATACACTGCATTTCAACATATTAGACTGAAGAAAAACTATTTATTTATAAAATGTTCTTGGTATTTTTGGGGTTATGTAACATCGTTTTACATAGGAAATATGCAACAATTCACTCATAGAAGCACCAGTCAACTAAACTGACATGAATTGTTTACTTTTATGGCCGGAAACTACATTCAAGTTGAATCCTGTCGAAGGTCCTTTGCCCATGACGATGTGACTTTGTCCCCCTGAGACCGGACCGGACCATGCGGCGGCCGATCCAACCGAAGCCGAACTAGAGGGAGTCTACCGTATTTTTGTTACATTTTATTGTGTCTATTATCTCCCTGGAATGAGATTTTTAAAGATTTTTAAACTAAGCGTACAGTGTTGTTTCTATATTATATTATGGCGGACTTGTTACTGTTTTCTATAGAAGATTTATGGAACAAGAATATTTTATTCTGCGTCCTCTCAGTGATGAAAATTCACGAATATTAGAACAGAAACTGTATGGATTTTAAACATAAACAAATGACAGCACTGGTCGTCTCTACTAATGGCTGTAAATGCTGTTTCAGACATTTTTAACAGTTCCATTTAAATATCAATAATACCCCCGCCGCAGCAAACCTGCCGACTAAGCAAATTTCCAATTATCTGAATTGATTTTCAATTAAATATATATTTAAATAACATTAGGTTTAACGAGTACCTAGGTTTGCTGCTACAAGGAAACTAGTAAAGTGTATTTATTAGTAAAATATTAATAGCTTAGTATAAAATAAATAAATTTGCCAAGTTTGATAAAAAAATATCCATAAACAAGCAAACTGCAACATTTTACAATATTCTCCATAAGAATAACGGAATTTTAAATTTAAAATTTTTTAAATTTTCTCCCTTACCAATAATTGTACAAAAACACTTTATATACTAAACTATTTATTTTTAAGCTCTTTAAAAAGGTCTAGGGAGAAATTGGGAAATTTTGTGTTTTGAGGGTCAAAGATGAGAAAAACCATCTTTTACCCCATAAAACCCCCCTAAAACCCTGTTACCCATGGTCCGATCATGCTGGTTCGCGAACTCATTCAAGATTATCCCGCCTTGCACCTTACCGAATTTAATCAAAATCGGACAAAAATTACTCAAGTTATCGCGTTCACGGACGTATATATATATATTTACAAATTTAAAAGAAAGGTGTTTTTGGCCTCTGGGGACATCAAAATGAAAATTAAATCAGCCTCGAGCCTAGATCTTACGGTGCCACCTACGGTTAAAGCTACTTCCCTATAGGGATATTAGCTAAAAATCTGTTGACTTTCGGCAATGAATACAGAACCTTATAAGAAGCGAAACTGCCATATTAAAAGAGGCGACGCTACAATGATTGCCGCCAGCCGTAGTTCTCAAAGACTTATTATGTAGGAAGCGCTAGCGTCGCCAGCCGTAGTGTTCGTGAACTACAGCTGGCGACAATCTTTGTCTTTTAATACAGTGGTTTCGCTTCTTATAAGGTTCTGTATTCATTGCTTTCGGCTAGTGACATAATTTGTTAATGTTTATGATCCATGCCGTTTATGTTATAATATCCGTGATGAAATTTAAAGTAACACATAACATCCTATTTTAATTTTGGCTCACACTTACATATAGCCAGAACAGCTTTATAGAAGATGGTTGAAAGTGAATTGTAGACCTACATAAGTAACTGGTACTTCTAACATGTAAATTTAATTTTACTTATGATTTTTTAGCTTTATTTGATTTGAATTGCCATTTATATTTTACATTTGTTAGTCATTTACTCACCATTTCATTTCCCACTGACAACAGCATGAGCTTGAAATGTATTTTAAAAACATCTATTTTACAGCATGGTAAGTACAGTGTAATAAGTACAGTGGAACTCCAACCATCCAAATTTCAATTATCCTAAAGGCTTACAGAAAGAATACAGAAAAACTTAAAACCATATTAATAAGAATTGTTGTTAAAGAAAGCAAAAGAATTGTTGGGTATCACAATTGAACCCAAAAAATCTCTCGCCTCATGTGGACATCATAATTGTCTCCCTGGGTCACGGAAACATTGTCACCATATTTTTTAATTTCGGCAAAAAATATCCCACAGTCGTGTGAACATCATCTTTGTCTCCTGCGGTCACGGAAACATTGTCATTGTTTTCCATGATCGAGACCAAATCCTGAATACCTCCCACAGTCGTGTAGACATGATCATCGTCTCCCGTTGTCATGGAAACTCGTCATCAATTTCTATGATCACGGAAAAATCTTGAATATGTTCCTCGGTTTTGTAGACAACCATCTCCTGTGGTCACGGAAAATAATAATTGCTCTCCCCAATCAAGATGAAAGCATGAAATTTTCGATCACGAAATCTTTGCAGACATGTTCTGCGATCCAAATTGTTTGAATCAGTCTGTTTTCTGTAAATCACCCCTAATTTAAATAAAAATCTAACTATCAGAATTTTTGATTATTTTTATGTGTTGTGGTCCCAATTGATTGGTATAATTCAGAGTTCTATTGTATGTTGTTTATGTAATGACTATGTATATTGCAATAACTGTATGCAAAATGGCACCAACAAATCTTAAATCATCTTTGTTGTTATTTGTTTTTGACACTCGTGGAATTTTGTGTGTGATTAGTACAATAAAGTCTGGTTTATATGAACTAATACTTCAAAGTCTTTGTTTTGATAATGCTTACATTATATATGAATGTATGCATTGCTTATTAACAAAAGCTTATTAACAAAAGCTTATAGTTTTCAAGTTGGTAATTGGTCATATAAGTCTGTATGCAGGACTTCATCTCAAGTTTTAGTCTTACCATTACTGCCATCAAAAAGTTATGCTTGACATGACCTTCTACATCAGATGTACACCTAAAATGTATATATCTGCTTATGCATGATGTAAGGCTGTGTCTACAGCTTCTATACACTTCACACAGCTGTATAAATACACTTCTTCAATTCACGAACTATGTCTTAATGCTACAGACACAGTTTTATTTATACTTCCTAGAGACTTAATCTTAAATTTCTGAAAAAAGAGCTTGCAACGCTTCCCCACCAAATATTACTCCACCAAAAATATTCTGAGGTATTTTTTGTAAGTATATAATTCTTTTTGCAAATGGTAAGTTGATCCAATTTGGGCTTAAGGAAATGCAAAATAACGAGACCTTACCGTCAGACCGCCACCGCCCACCACCGCGCCGTGCAGAACGCATCATACCGTGCATAGCCGAACAGTTACTGTTCGTGGGAAATTGTTATCTCTATCACTGTCGCTGTCAAAACATGTCGTTTGTAGGTTAAATTTAAATTAATTTAACTGTCATAACCTAACCAAACTAACCAAAATTGCTGATAATGAAAATTTCGAATGAAGGTTTACTAATAACAAAAATAGTTCTGCTCATAAAATAAAATTATAAATGTCTCAAAATCAATTATTTAATTTTTTAATTATAAAATTAAACTATCATAACCTAACCAAACCAACCAATCTTGCTGATAATGAAAAAAATCGAGTCAAAAAGTTAATGCCTCCAGTGGGTATCAAACCGGCTTCCTCCGTATTATCAGCCCGGTGCGCTATCCACTACACCACCGAGACCATCGGCTGTTCAATGTACGTATCGTTGCGGTAATGGTGTTCGCTCGAGCAGTGGTGGATGGTGGTGGGCGGTGGCGGTCTGTCGGCAAGGGTTAATGTGAATGCCATCATACAGTTGGAGGATAGCCTTCATTATGTTTCAATTCCATAAGCAAGTATAAAGTTCTGGTTAAACTCTTTGATTCCTACTACCTTATCAACTTGATTATTCCAAGTAAACTCAAGCGATGGGCGATGCTCTGAAATTAAAATTTTGTGTTACAATTAGCGCCTATTTATTTAATGAAAAAGAAACATTTCTTCGGTATTATTTTTTAAAACCTTTTTATTAGGTCGCTTTCTTGTCCGCTACAAATTTTGCAACCGATTTTATACTAACTTCCCGATGAGCTAGAGACTTGAAACTTGAAACATAGCTCACAAATGGAAGACAATGCAATATTATGCAATTTAATTTTCATATTTCCCTTGGGCTACGCCCCATGGGCTTGTTTTTATTAAATCGATTTCTTGCAAATTTTGATACTTCCCGATGAGCTAGAGACTTGAAATTTGAAACATAGCTCACAAATTGATGACATAGCAATATTATATCATTTAATTTTCATATTTCCTTTCGGGCTACGCCCCATGGGCTTGTTTTTATTAGCTCGCTTTCCTACAAATTTTGATATCAATTTTAAACGATGTTCCCGATAAGCTAGAGACTTGAAATTTGAAACATAGCTCACAAATGCATGACAATGCGATATTATATCATTTAATTTTCATATTTCCCTTGGGCTACGCCCCATGGGCTTCCAAATTTTTCATGTTTACATTTTGAAAGAATGTAAATAAAATTAATTTAAGTCAGCTGTAAATACTTAAATTTGACAGTTCAAAGAGCAGAGGTTAAGAGGTACAGGTTATGCTCCCAAGAGATTCTTTATACAAACATTTCAAAATATAGATAAACAATCTGATTGCAGATATAAAGATGTTTGTTAATAATGTAAATTGTTATTTATTTAATGTTCTATAAAGTAAACAATAAATTAAATATATTGATATATTTATAGTTAGTAGGTAGGCCATACATTCAATCTAATACATAATTATATGAAAAGAAACTCAAATAAACCTTAGATTTCCCACATGCCTTTGTCTTAATCTGATATAGATGCTTGAAATAGATTTAACATCCTCACGCATTAAAAAACTAAAAAAATAGAAAATAATTTATAAATAAAAACTTTTTTAAACAAAACGTTTTTAAACGCCCTAAAAAGTAGAAAATAATTTACAAATAATTTATAAATATGTTGAGAGCGTATAAATACTTGTACGATTTAAAACGAAAAACGTGGGGTGCATGCAATAGATAGTTTACCTTCACCTACACTGAACTAATGTATTATTATCAATTAATTGCATGCACCCAACGTTTTTCGTTTTAAATCGTACAAGTATTTATACGCTCTCAACATATTTATAAATTATTTGTAAATTATTTTCTACTTTTTAGGGCGTTTAAAAACGTTTTGTTTAAAAAAGTTTGTATTTATAAATTATTTCAGTATTAGTTAACTAGTTAATAACTAGTTAGCTGAGCTGAAGTAGTGGATTTCCTAGAATTACAAGGTTTTCGGTTCGATCCTGGTTGTTAGTAGCTTTTTGAAGGTCCAAAACTAGACCTAGTTGTCCTTAAGTATTGTTGTCAGGAACAATGCTATCATCTCATTCATTCATTCAACACTCATCCTTCGCTTATCTTGACCTTAAGATACACACTATGGTGTGTCATATTATGAATTCAATATAGATGTTTTAGGTCCTAAATTTGCAGTTTGACATAACCACTCTTTGACTAAACTCAAACTCAGATTATTTTTGTACGAACCAGGCTTTATTAAGTGTGTAACATTTGTGTTCAATGTTATTTGTGGGCTTACAGCTTTTCAGTGTTGTTCAGCTTTTAGAGATTTGGTGTGATGTAGTACCCTAGTCTTGTAAACATTCTATACAATTGTAGCTTGTATTATTTATTGTTGTTGCCTCTAAGGAAATGTAGGTACTGGAAAATTTGCTTATTGAAGGGTCAGAACAATCAAATGTCAATAGTTGATACACTATAATCATAAAGTTTAATTTATTCATACAAGTTATCACTAATATTTCAGTATACATATCTCTACTACCCAGATAGGGAAATTGACATTTAATCAAAAAATTTTAACACTTTTCAACAAGGAAATTACTTATACTGTATTGAATTCCTGTATTTTAAAAACGTGTTTATATAAACCAATTTTACTAAAATGATTAGTTGTTGACTGTTGTGTACCTAATTATCTATAGAAACTTTTATTTTCATTATAATGCATTTTGAGTCCAACACCTAGGTTTAATAAAAAAATACTATTAGGCAAAGGGTAAAAATAAAAATGTAATTTCACTGTATACTTGATTAACCAAATACTTTTAAAAATGTGCTATTTAAAGTCTTAAAACATAGACAGAATTTAAAAAGATAATTTTAGTCTTGGCAAGCAACAAATTTAAAAAGTATTGGACTAAATCACATGTTTATCATTAAAAAAGTACTCTCTGCATTTCTTTCCAAATTTGTACATTGTGTATGATTTAGTAACATAATTTTTTAATAAATTTGATTACAGTTGACACCAGACGCCAAAGGAAAGACTCCAGCACCCAGCAGTTTAACTATGAACAATGCCAATACAGCTTCAGAGACAAAAGTAAGTGCAGAAAAAATCATTATTGATACAATGTGCTATAGACCTACTTTGTATTTTTGTGTTATAATTGAATATACAACACATTATATATTAGAGAAACAAAGTAATTGGGTCGAGTTACTCACTCATAAGCTACATATGATGAGGATACAATTTAGACAATACTGGTAAACTAAACGGAGGTCAACAGAAACAATTTAAATGGTTTGTAATAGAAATTAGACAGTGTGTAACAGCATTGACTATTGGATAACAGTACAACTGGTCAGTGGCGGGTGGCGCCACAAAATAATTTAATTATTGAATGTTTAGTCATAATTGTGTTGTCTGTTTACAGCTGGACCACTGTGATGATGAAGACTCGTTCTTTGATCTACTTTCTCGGTTCCAGTCAGAACGTATGGATGACCAGAGATGCTCATTGGCTCTCCCAGCGGACAACAAGGAGAACACAGCTCCCGTCGTCAACTCAGCCACACTCAACAATGCTGGTGAGACTGCTTTACCTAGATAGCAATTGTAAGAGTAGGCATAAATATCCCCTGCAGCAAACCTGCAGACTAAGCGAATTTACATTTACCTGGTTGGGTTTTTGTTATATATTATTATATCTGTTAGTCTGGACTCATTAATTAATACTTTGTGGTTGGCTGACCAGGATTTGCTTTTTAAATAATATAATATAATAAGACTTACCGTCTTGAAGCAATCCAGTTTTTGTACTCAGTGTTTCGGCTTTATAAAGCCATCTTCAGCACATTCTTCTAGAGGTCAATTCATTATAAACATGCGAACATTCTGATTCTTGTCAACTTTTTACAACACATTTTACACAACACAAAAGATGTAAACATAAACTTTGGTAGGCCTACCCTACTTGTATGTCGCGCCATAACCTCACCTCACTTTTGACATGTGCTCAACTGACAGACAACAGAGGACAGGCAATTTAGATTTTTTCTAGTTGCTGGAGCATCAATGCCTTCATGATCATTTTTTTGTGTCGTCGTCCCTTCTGACTATTATTTCATATATTACATTAGCTGTAAAATTGGATTGGACATTGATGAGGTTTTGGTTGTCATATTTGTGAGCACGATATTTCCACTTCCTCTAACCTGTCAAGCCTATATGATTTGTTGCATGTGTGCAGAACCTCTAAACAATCTTCAACTGGTTTATAATCATGCATTGAATCCCTGATGTGTGCTGCAAAGTTGGATCTTTGAAGGCTAATATCAGGATTTCGTAATGACCACGGAAGACTCTGGTGATTTTCCATTGTTTTTTAATTGTTTTTATGGTTTTTCATTTTTAATTGTTAGTTTTTTATAATGTTGCAGGAGAGGCTCAGGATGACCTGCTGGACCTGATCGTAGGTATGCAGAGCAAGAGGATGGATGAGCAGAGAGTAGCGCTGCCTCACCTGCCTGGCTTGTGTCCCCCACAGAGCTCCGCTCCTGACGAGGGCTTCCTGGAAATGCTCATGAGGTAGGCCTACACTACTCTGAGAAAAGTTAGTGTCTTAAGAATTTGGCAGCCTTATATTGCCTTTTTTTAGCCTTCCATTTGCCCATTCACATTGGGCAAATGTGAAACGTATCTAGCAAACCAAGGTGTGAGACGGTACAGAACAAGAACGAACCACACCGATAAATATTAAGGACAACACTGGGACGCAAATCCTACTACATCGCTGATTTGATATCATAGTCCATCAGGATGCAGCCGACTCTCAAACAGGGTTTTTATCAGATAAGGAAAATAGGAGATAATTAGAAAATTTTCTCTTACCCAAACATTTTGTTCTAAAAAAACCATTTTAATAGTTCACAATATGCATGTATATAAAATGAAAAATTTGGGTAAGTTATCAATATTAGTCAATTATTTGAAAAAAAGTAAAATAACACAAGAAATTCTTGTTCTATTTAAAACACATCAGTCTTTGGAATTGGTGGATGATTAGTCTGTATGTTTTTGTAGGTGTCAAGGTGCCAGGCTGGAGGACCAGCGTAGTTCTCTACCAGAGGAGCCGACGGCACCTGCCAGCGCAGGGACTACAGTGCCAGACGAAGACTTCTTCTCTCTCATCATGAGGCTGCAGAGCGGACGCATGGAGGACCAGCGAGCCACGGTGCCGACTACTCTCAAGTAATCCACTACACGCAACAACACAACATCTACTGACTTGGGCTCGTGTTACCAATGCTTCTAACCCTGTTCTACACTTTTCCGGTCAAGTTACAGTAGAAACTCTGTTAACCGTCACTCCCGGCAACCTGACGTCATGAAGTAATTCAGGGTATTTAGTGTCACTTTCACTTTTAAGCAACTGATTTTCATGTAAGGCTATTGAAGTCACAGAGTGTTTATCAGTCACAGAAATGAAATACTGTAGTTGAATCCATTTAATTTTTTTAATCGATAAATTAGAAGTAACAATGGGAAAGTGATATAGTTTTAATTAGTGATAAACTCATGATCTATGATATTCATTAAATTTCCTCTATTTAAAAAAATAAACTAAGCATAACTATTCTATTGCAGTATAGTAGTAGACTGCCGATCACCCATAATATAAATTACATATTAAACGTATTATACCGGATCAATTACATATTATATGTTAATTAATCACGTTGCAGATTAAACACAATTGCAATAGTATATTACATTACTACTAGTCTGGAAAATAGGGGTTATTACCATACGAGTCTAGTAAATACATTTTGCACGAGTGACGTACGATATTTTTTGGAACTAAGTTTAATGATCTGTTCACTGTATTTAAAATGTTTTATCACTACCTAACTATGCCTACATTTTAACTATGCACTCAAAGTAAATGTTAGATATTTCCAAGGCATTTTACCCCAAGTTACAATCAATCAGCCACTAATTATCATGGAAATCGGTAGTCTACTGTATCTGTATTTTAAAGTGCGGTTACAGTGCCACTACTATAGGTAGCGCTGATAGAACCGTTAATAGAGGTTCTACTGCATACTAAACGTTGTTGCTAAAATGCAAATGTATTGTGTTTCTGTCTCAAAGTTAATAATTGGGCCTATTAATATTGGCCTAAATTAATTTCTTGATTTTCTGATTGGTTTACAAAAACTCTTATTTTAAATAACCTTGCTTGTTTTTTTAAAAGTTTTAATAAATGAAACTTGGGAAGATTTTGTGTTGATATATAAGCTTATGAACTAACGTTGCACACTGTTTACTTGTTTAACTTTCAATTTTACACCCCCAAGTCAGTAACAGCAGAGTTTTTTAATGCTTCGGTAAAGTTTTATATTTGTCTAGCTGAGCAATACATATTTTTATTATAGTTGTGAAGTGCTTAGTATATTCGTAATATCGTTACTCAAAACTTTGGTAGAAATTAAAGTTGTCCATTAATTTTGCCAGTGAATGAATAGTGATTGTATACTTCTCAAATAGAGGTGTGCGGATTCGGATAGTTTGACATTCAATTACTTAATTAATAAATAATATTAAGGTTAAAAAGTTATAACTTGCATTTTCCATACAAAAACTTCAATATTAATATTGCAAAATTGTGATATTGTACTGTAAGTCATCAATCTTGGTTCAGTTATAAAAACGGAAGTTCAAATTCACAGCTCACTCAAACTTAACAAAAAAGTATACAGTACCTTATATCTAGATGCAAACAATTTATATGGCAAGACCTACATGTCTCAGTGTATACCTTGTATCTTGATGCAAACTATTTACATGGCAAGGCAATGTCTCAGAAGCCTTATGGTCGTGATAAAGTCCAAAACGTCAAAATACATAGTCTAAAAAGTCGAATATTTACTGGATAGTGTCGGATATAAAATTTGGGCTTGGTTCAGATCCGATTTTTTGGATATCCGCACACCTCTACTTTTCTCATCCTATTATAAAATCAGAAGACTTTTTGTTATTATGTTTCATCGTTACACTGGAGTAGGCCGAAATCAAGAACATTTTCTTTCATATTTTCAGATAAATTTTACAATTTTAGCTTGATTTGTTAGTTAATATCATAGGAAAAGCAAGAAAATCATATTTTTATATCTATCTAAATTATTAATTCTGTAAGCGATTTTTAAAAATCAAAATTTTGACAGTTTGGCAGCTTGCAGGATGATGGGAGATGGCTCAAATTAAATGTCTTGGTCCCAGGGGGTAGGAAAAAATAGCAGATTATGTCCAAATCTACCAGAAAATGAGAAATAACGAAAATTTGAATATCTTCCATTTATAATGCGTTGGTATAGAAAAACGTCAGCTTTGTTTACATTAAACATGTCATTACTAATGTCATTTTTTAATTCTACTTTTAATCCTGTTGAAGAGTGTGTGAAGTTTGTCCACTAATCAACAAATAGTTTAGATACATTCTGCTTTCACTAAAGTCATCTAAAAATGATTAACTTACAATTTTCCACACAAATTATGTTTGCTGCATTTTCCAGAGATAAATCTCTGGAATGATTCACAAATTATTAATTTTGAAAATAACATTGACAAAAGCAAACGGACTGTTTTTTACACACAAGATATGGTGTACAGGGTTATCTATCCTGACACATAGAAAATTTGATTCTGAGTTTATATTACAATAATATTTTGTTTTACATTATTTGAGCTTTTTAGGCACTTATGTCCCTACAATTCACTAGTTGAGTTATAATTGTGTTAATTTGATTAAATGACAAGAAACAAATAGTACACACTAAGTTATGCCCTCTACATTACCTGGCCTGAAACACCTTTAAATTGTCCTCATCTGTTCCATAAGCAAAATATATTTTATCTATGCTTTTGCTCAGTTCCATGTGTTTAACAAATTCATTCTTCACTCTGTAAATTTTACAAACTGATGCACACTTTAAGGACACACAAAACGTAGTGTAAATTTTGATGGTGTGTATATAAGTACAGTAAAATGTTACTTATTCCAACATGTTAAAAAGATATAAAATGTAGAAAACCTGCTTGGATATCTGTACCTGCTATCCAAAGAAAAATAGTTATAATCAGTGGAATAAACCATGTCTACTCTGCAAAAAACAATCTAGATCAAATTTCAACATAAAAATTTGATTTCTTTTATGATCTATTATTTTGTATATTATCGTAATATGTATAGATAAAAAATGACCATTTTAGTTCTAAGTTAGTTTATGACACATTTAGGCTATATTTTATCTTTCTTTAATATATATTAAGCTCAAAACTTGTTTATGCTATATAAGTTTCATGTAATAAAACCTAATGCATATCATATACAATCTCAAAACCACATAAATAACTAATCTTTATCAACAGCTCAACGTATTCAGTTTCAACTTCACTCGCTTGTTACATTAAGCTGTTGAGTTTGTACACAAAGTTTAACATTATTAATATTTGAGTTGGCACTTTATAGCCCTGTGCCATTAATTATGTGCACCTTCCTAATATTTTTCAGGAACCTTTTGTAAATACAGTATATCCTTCTTTTTTCATCTCAAAAGTGTATATTTTTTATAGGCGTAGCTACTACTGACCCCATTATGTTTTTTGTTTATATAATTTTATGTCATATAAAGCAGCTAAAGGTACTATTACTATTATCTGCTTATAACTTAACTGATGTCTAATGTGAGTTTTCTAAGTCTAACTCGTCTAAATTTGGAATCTCTTAGCTGAAATCAGGTTAAAAATAAGTAGTTGTTGAAAGTACAAATAGTTACAAAAAAATTGATTTATGAATCTTGCACTTTAAAGATATGATCAGATAATCTATTTAACTTTATAGTACAGAATGTAAATATTATATTCCGAATCTTAAAGAATGGAACTTTGGAATATTAAAAGTTTGGCAATTTTATTCCTCTTGCTTACGGGATGTTTTTAAAAGGTTTCTGGAGCAAGCTAGTTCAAATCTAACACTAGCACTGAAAGAGGAATGACTAAATGATTGGTGGGGAATCGTAGTTTACGCAACGATCTGGTAAGGATAGTTTTAACCCATTGGAGACTTGGTTTTGTGTTCAATAGCATAGCCTTTAGAATCCATTAAAAAATGGCTAATTTGCAGTGTTTCAGTAAAAAATTCATAAAAAATTTACTTTTTAACTTAAATAGATAAAAGTTGTATGTAAATTAATTAAAATTAAATTTCCTATTGTAATAAATATGTTTCAAGTAAAAAAAATAACAATAATATTTTTTTTAATCTTTCAAAATGAAAATAAAATATATATATATATATTTTTCAAAAGCAATGTCAAAGAATTTATTAAAAATATTTTTTTAAAACTATTTCTTGCTTTTATTCCCTTACTTTATTCAATTCCCTACATAAAAATGTTTAATTTGTAATTATATCTACAATAGTCCATGTTTTACAGCTATTTATGTAAAACACTGTCTACCCTCTCATCACCACTAGGCCTACGCCGATAGGCCTACGCCGCCCGATTCGCCAATTCACTTTCACTTTCATTTTCGCACTAAAGACTGTTAATCTTACTCGAGAATATGCGATCAAATTAATTTGTTGGCTTCCATTTATAAAACATAATAATAAACCCGTAACTAAGTTATAATGACTTATCACCACTGAAAGTACGAACACAAACAAACACAAAGGTCTGAAAATCAAGAATGTAAACAATCACGTCACATCTGTTGCACCATATTGTCAACCGTACAAATGAAAATAATATTCCTTGTCAGTTTCTAATATTACAGAGAGAGTAAGAAAACAATTTTATTGTAAAACTGTAGACTTATAACAAATAAAACAAATCAGCTGTTAAGAATACGTAATGACAACTTTCAATGACGTAATATTTTTACACTTTTTGTTACTTGTTTTCTACTTATTACTTTTAGTTTATTCTTAAATAATCATTTTTTATTTAAACTATAATTCATCACGAGACAGTCTCGTGCAAAGTCTCCAATGGGTTAACAAAAAAAGTATAAAATTTAAGGCAGGTGCCTTTAAAACTTTTATGAGTCTCGTTAAGGCTAAATACGCGAGTTGCGTACACTACTTTACCTTAGACCATTTCATATTTACTAAAAATCGATTACACATAACTTCCAAGAGGGGTTATGTTTTCGTTCAAAACCTCTCATAGCCACTGATTGAGTGATTGTGATGCAACGACTTGTTGTCTCAACTACTCACTCATTGTTTAATCAATTAAATTGGTCTTAACAGCTGATAAGTTGACGTTTGTAATTTTTTCTCTCAATCTTTGAACCTCATAGGTCCGGTCCGTTACTCGTGTTGTAAAGTAAAACAACAATGCTGTTAAGTGAATCTTTTTAATTCTAAGAACTGAACTGAAGGGCTAGTTTAAAAAAATGTTGTAGGTAAAGTTAATTACATAGCAAAGCTTTTGTTAAAAAAGTGCACAAAGTTCACATTTTAACTAGCTTGCTCTGTCACCATGGGATCTTATAGAGACCTTCATTTTTAGACAACTCTGTATTTATTATATTCTAGTAAATACAAATTAAATTTGTCTATTGCAACAGGTAAGTCTGCATTTACAAAAAGACTCTTTCAACTGGATTATTCAATAACATTGCTTTTTGTAAGTTCTAAAGCTGTTTAATTTTTCACCTTTTGTAAGAGAATACAGAAATAGCCTTTTGTCAATTCTATCTTGCCAAAAGTATATGTCAGATATATGTGTTTTACTCACTTTTTCTAGATTTTGACAAAACCAACTTTATTTTTTAGTACTTTTATAAACATATTGATTATTATTGTGCCAAAAGTATGTCATTCCTTAGTGTAATTTTTCAATTAGTTCCTTTTCTTTATGGAACTGTTAGCACTAATAACAAAATAATTTTTACTGTAGACAGAATTTGAATTTCCAATGTAAATTAGATACTAGATGAAATTGTTGTACTCACTGCACGAGTGCTGTACTTTTGATTAGCTTAGAACTGCATGCATTTCTTTGCCAAAGACTTTAAACTTGACTTATAAAACGGGTCTAATTGTAACCTTATGAGTGGTCCTTTGAAGAAGGTTTAAGCTTTAATGTATTCGAGTTTCCCAGAGAGTCTGTTAGAATGTATATTAGGTTTAATACTATATCGTAATGTTAAAGAAATCACAACTAAAAATATTTATTTTTCCATTAAATTAGCTAACAATGTATTCATAGGCGAATCAATCCCTATGACTATTTTATAAGTTACATGTTAAAAACAAAGTGGTAAATAAAGTATTATTTGTAACCCTTCTGTTTTATTTACTCCTTGAGCCAATAGTTCATTTGTGTAACTAGTGGGCAAAGTGGCACTTTGCTGCACATGAGAGATATGTTTACGCACAAGTTTTAGGCGAGTGTGGAAAGTTTCTTGAGTGCAGCAAAGGCAGTTTGCACTCGTGTTACACATTATATTTTCCCTACAGTTACTATAAATCATATAAATATTTAGTCTTTCAAACAATGTAAACACGTTTTTAGGTTAGGTTGAATGGAAACATTGAACAAAATGGGAAACGCTGCACTAGCTGATTGTAGTTGTAATGTCTTTAAGTGTTGCCAACTTATTTTCAAGCGTACACGTACTCGTATTACGTGCCTAATAAAAGCACACTGTTTTGTGTTGTTTGGTTAATACTGAAGTGCGGCACAAGTAAAAAGAGTGCGGCAATTAGCAACTTTCTATTACTATAGCAAAACTTGTGGAAGAATTGTTTGCCTAACGTGCAAAGTGGCATTTTTAATGTAAAGTGCAAGTTATGGAACAGAATAGAACAGTGTATTGAACTAGGAAGTTCTTTCTTTACTTAACCTCTGACAAAATAAATTAAGTCTGCATGATTGGGTTAGATTTAAGTTCACACAGTTAAAATTCACACCAATTCTTAGTCTTGAACCAACTCTTTAATATTTGTTTGTTTGGTAAGTTACATCAAACATTCAATTTTTTTCTACTATTGTAATAGTTACAGGTAGGCACTAAAACAATAATTATTTAACAATATCATTTATTGAATCTAAATAATATAATATGGATAACAAAACAAATAATCAACTATATTAAACAATCGATGCAAATAACTAAGCACCAAAGATATTTGGTATTGCAGTAGGAAACGAGATCAGTAATACTGTAACATACTGATAAGTCGAGAAATATTTACAAGTGAAATAGTTGCCAGAAGTTACAAATTCTATAAAGAAAGGCAGCTATGGATGATATTTAGAATAGAATGAACATTTAAAAATTTTATAATACCCTAAAAACGGTAAAGTTTTATAAACTAGACCTTATGTTTAAAACGAGAATAAAAAAACATGCTGTTGAGGTACAGTAGATAATAAAATAACTAATCTGGTATATTCAGGACTTTGGCGGTGTTTCAGGATTATTGAAAATTCCTGTTTACTGAATGTCTTCTAAAAACAGCAGATTTTTCGATACCAAAAATAACGCTAATTTTAGAACTTTTGCCAATTGCTCCCACATATGTGCTGTTCACTCCCTACTCTGCCGTTAGCTCCCCACATCTGGAAATCACTCCAATATGGCTTAAAACAGCATCAAACAAATTGTTACGCCTTTAGACCAAAGCCGGGTTATTGAAAGTGCCAGACCATCGCATACCAGATTAGCGGTTGTTTACTGTAATTACAGGACAGTCAAAATATTTACGGCTTCCTGTTAGATTGATTGTGAACATTCCCTGATTTACCGTGGTTTTAGGCTTCACAAATAATTTATTTAGTCCAGCAACACATTAATTGTCGTTGGTATTTTATAAAACAATGGTCCCTGATGTACTTATAGATTTAATAATAATTTAAGTAACTATAACTTGCACCTGAACAACTCAAACGTCATTTGTCCCTTAAATCAACTAACAATCAAGGAACTAAAAAATATACAAACCAAATTGCAGTGAAAGATCCTTTTAAACCCTACTAAAAACGGGAAGGAGGCAAGATAATTGTAGTAGGTAAGGTATACAATAAAATGAAATCAAAGCTATACATTTTCTACTTAACCAAAATGACTAATACAAAATACAAAATGAAAGTGGAGACCATGAACTGTACCAACCCAATATAAGAGGTTATAAAGTAAATAATACTAAATGCTAATGTAAATACATTATTATAATTTAAAAGTAAATGCACTTCTTACCTATCCTGTTCAAGAAAGGCAAAATCATGCATTTCAGATACCAAGCATTAAAACTCCTTAAATGACTTTTCTTATACAGTACGTACAATTTTTTTTTAGGATAAAAGATAATTGTGCTTCAAATAAGTTCAGCCAACTTAAGTGACTAATTTCTCTTTGATTCTACAAAGGTTTGCTACTAACATTAAAATCTCCAAATTCATCCATAACTGGATAACTGGTTTCCAATAAAGGCACTGCAAGGTTGATGATCAATATCTAGGCATGTAGTGATATATCATGTTTTGATAAGGGAGGACATTTTCAAAGAAATAACGCTGCTAACGTTAACCCAGTGACACATACAGGAAATTTTTTTCAGGAGCGCAGGCCATCCTATTCCAGGGGTTCAGGAAAACGCCCTCTCCTGCAAACTAATTTAATATAACATTGCTTTGAAAAATTTTCAGGGTAACCAAAACTCTCTTTAAAAACATTTCTATTATAATCTTTGTTTTTTAACGGATCAGAAGAAAATTAAAAAAAGAAGCGTAAAAAAATCAAATACGAGGGTGATAATGAAATGTTACCCATTTTTATAATAATGATTTAGGTGTGAAATATCTATTCTCCAATAAAATATTACGATTTAAATACAACATGTATCCTCATCACTTATCGATAGCAAATTACTCAAATATGTTATAGGAACTATTAGTCTACATATAGATAAAGGGGTATTTATTGTAGTAAAATATACAATGTAAACTGATGATAAACATAAATTAATTTAAAGATAACGATATAATAATTTTTTATTGGAATGATTTTCTTTGACAATATTGGTTTACAAAGAGAAAAAAGTACCGGCTGATGTGCTCGACAATAGTTGGTTTTTCTATGCTCTTAGGATGGAAAATTTACTGTTGCCCCAAAACAAATGCATTGAAAAGTGCAGTTTCTTCTGCCTAACCAAAATTATTACCTAAGGTTTTTTAGTAGTGCATTTGTGTCAAACACTTGCAAACAAATGTTTTTCAAGTAAAAAAAATAGATATTGCACAAAATGTGTCATATTTATAGAGACATGGCGGGCAAATGAAAAGGTTGAATTTAGGCCTTGTAGTATGATAATTTGACTGTACTAGCTGCCATAGATGTCACATTATTTTTTTGAAATGTTTTAAAGTGTATGTCGAATTGTTTTCCTCTACACGGCTTTCAGTTTAACTATTTTTGTTTTTGTCCTATAAAACGTCACATTTACATACAGTTGTCTATTGTTTAAAGTGGGATGTACCATTTGTTTACGTTGGAAAAATTAAGAAGTCAATGCATTTTTGGTAGTAATGATATTTTTATAAGAATGCTCATCAAACAAAGGACAATATTTTTTCTGTGATGAATTAAAAAATCCCAATCAAGAAATTTACTTAGAAATAACTGCACAATTAATTTAAATGAGGGGACCCATGCAAAAACTGCAAATACTAAAAAGGTTCCAAACTGGTTTCTGGGGCAAAAGAACAATGCAATACCTAGCTTTCCACCTCAGTCAGGTTAAAGTTATCAATACCAATAAAAGCAGTCTATTTCAAACCAATTTTCATAATCTGTTGCATCCTTATTGTGTTAAATATAGATTTGCACTAATAAAAAAAAATATTCTGATGATTTTTACTTTCTCCCCTTACACATAGTATATGGGGAAAGTATTGTACTCATAACAACTTTAGAGTTTGAGTCTTGGTATGTACAAAGCCACACCTGTGGTCCGATTCTGATGAATTTTGGTATGTGAGTAAAAATCCATAACATCTCCAGGGATTTATTTTTTTGAAATTTTGATTTGTAATGGCAATTTTTCCATAAAATAACAGAAAAGTCAAGTTTTATAAAAACGGTATGGCCCATTTCTGTAAAAAATAGAGTTTAAAAGTTATTGTAATTTAAGTGGTTTTACCATTAAAAAAGCCCATAAAATAGCAAAAATTCTGGTTAAAAAAGAGATTGACTGATTATAATAAAAATTAAGTATGTTTTGTTTCTAATAATTTTACACAAAATGGTAACCCCATTGCTGAAAAATATGCAGTTCAAAAATTAATGCAACTTTTGTGATTTTACCCATGAAATATCATAGTTACTGCCACCGCTTACCCATGCATGATAAACGTTGTTGGCAAACTTATGGGAGAAATTATATGTCAGATTGCTGATACTGTTTATTTATTCAGTAGTGTAGAAAAAAAATCCTTCAAAACTAAGGTAAAAGTTTTTACATTTGAGACCATAAGTACCACAAAACTTGTTGAGCCCACTTTTTGCTCTTGTTATGAAACATACTACTAAAATATCACAATTAAGTAAAGTAGTTGTTTTACATACATAAATGATACAGTATTAAGCAATAATACAGTAGAGTTTATAAGAGAGAATCTGAGAAAAAAACAAGAAAAACATTTGGTATACTTACAAAAATAAAATACATTATTGTATATTCTAAAAACACGTGTTGAGCATGATATTATATCACCTGTCCTCACAACTGGTTTTATAAACTATGACATATATTGTCAATCTAGTACACTGACTGTGTCTTTTGGGAATATGAGTTTAAATACAATTTTTGATGAAACAAACTGCTGAATTTTAAGTATTCATGTTGAAAAGCAAACAAGAAAGGAAAAATAATAAGTTTTTATGAATTCGGGATGGATAAATCCTTCAAATTTTCTCATATTTGAATTACAAGTAAAATTTCTTGGATCTCCTGATTTTTAGATATAAAATGGTTCCCATTATTAACAAAACACTCATCATTATTAACAATTAACCCATCTTGACTACTGATATTTATGGATCAGTCAAGGATCAATTGTTTTATTAGGCCTACCAAAAAGGTTTGTCACAAGTATCAAGATTCAGTTGACCAAAATCTTAAAATCATGAAACGTGTATATTATATCTTATAGTATATCCACCAACTAAAATCGTTAAATTAAATTCGTCAAAGTGCATACAAGAGTGTCCGTTTGCAGTCATACTTACTAATACATAAAATGTGTATAAACATAAACTTTGTCTCCATTTAAAACAGCACATTGTATCGGTGCTAAAATGGAATGTAAAAATTATTATAGTTACAGGTTAAATACAGTCGACCTAAGTACACTTGGTTGCCAGCGAGGTGTTGAGCTTTGCTGGATGAAGGTTACCGCTATGTCAGTAGTTCATACGAGGGTTCGTCCAACATGTGAATAGCCTCGCTGGGACTTGCGTATACTGCCCCTGGTCCTCGGTTGAAATCTAAAAAAAAAACACATCAGTATAAGAACTCGTTTTAAGTTTACGCTCACAAAAGCCTGCTATGGCTGGTTGTCAAAACATTAAAAACTTATGTATGTAATGAGTTGACTTTTGGAAATTAGAGTGAACCAGGTGTAGATAAAATTTGTATTCAAATAGAGCATAGTTGGATGAGTTGAAAACAGATTTGACTGGAAAATTTCTATTATTTTTTAGTTTTGGATCATTTGATAGTTGATGTAACAATGTTATAGTTTGCAGTGGGCTGTCATTGTAAACAATGTTGGTGTAAAACAGAAACCAGTAAATGACTACTGCACACTCTGTCAGTTGCATTTATTCCACATTATCCATTTTCATTTTAAAACCCATTACAACTTTATAAATGGAAATGAAATAGGTTTTACTCTCCACAGTCAAAGCTTTAGAGGAGTGTCATACTGGTCAGAAACAAAAGACATATGTAGAACATTGCTTATGGTTCTACAAAAATGAGGTTCAGTCAGCTGTTAAGAGAATGTGCTACTAAAAGTATTGGCTTGTGTTAAAAAAGCTCAATATTATGTGTTATCTATTAGGGTTGCTCTTAATATTAAAGAGCATATTGTTAAAATTTGCTTTTATTTCAGCGTATTATATGTATTTTCTATCTCAGGATATACATAAGAGTAAACTATATTGTAAAAACCCCCCCTTGGTTATAGATTTTTTAATATCACTTAATACATATTTTAATTTAATTTTGATGAAAGTTACTGTTGATCCAGCATAATAATTGTTTAGCAGGAATATAATAATATTCCCACTTAACTCAGTAAAATATGACTTCTTATAAGTATGAAGTGTACAAAACACAATCAAACTGGTCAAAGTCAATGATTATTAGAATAATGCGCAACTCAGAGCTTTATTTAATGAAAGATACATCAATTTTTTAAGCACAACTGACTTTCGACACTTGTGGGACTGTGAGGGTGTCTGGGTTACAACGTTGGATTATTAAAATAATACTAAATTAAACCTATAGACAAATAATAGTTAACTTATGAAGCCTTATTATGTCCCCCTTGACTCTTGGGCTTTCCAATCGACCAGATTAGGCATTATTTTACAAAAACAATGAATGTTAACTGAGTACAAAAGCTGCTTAAATTCGCTTATCAACCCTTGTATGCAGTTGAATTTGGCCTATAATTACCTGTTATATGAATTTAAATGCTGAAAAATGCAGAGTTATTGAAGTTTAATTTACAAATAAACACTTAAAAAAGCCAGCTTACGTTTGGCGTAAGATGTGTTTTTAAAGTGCTTATTTAAAATACATGTGCAATGATCATCAAGACAGTTATTAAACAATGTTTGGTAATTAACATTTTCTCCCCAATAATCCCTACTATTAACTGTAAGAATTGCAGGATTTGACCGATTTCAGTCAGATCCTGTTTTCTGACACAACACAAGGCCAAAGTACAGTATGTATTACACATATTGTATTGGCCAATGTGTCAGACTTTCAAGTGTCAGGTTATCAAGAATCGACTGTACAAAAAAACATATATTTGAAATACATAACACACAACACAACGTAGTAAAGGTCTTCTAAACATCTAGGTACAACCAATAAAGCGACGACTACATAAACTAAAATGTTCTACAAGCATAACATAAGTAACTATACAGGGTACAAACCGACCGATTCAAATACTAGGACACTACATCCAATGTACTAAGTACAACGAGTAAACAAAATAATCACTTATAAAATACAATTAACATGCATGACAAGTAGGAAGCTATATTGACTCCTTTAATTTTATTCGCTGATATAACTATTTTAGCTTCTAATGCTGTTTGTTCTCTTTTACCACTTTCAAACAACTTTAATTAATTTATTACTTAAATGACAAGTAGAAAAGAGCCATTTGCCAATTAAAATGTACATTTCACAGGTTCAACAACGGATGGTTACTGAATTTTATAGTTGTATGACTTTTGGTAGAGTGAGTACAAAGAGAAAACTACTTGTTTACAAGGATTATATTTCTTGTGAAATGGTAGATGACTTTTGACTAAACCCTGAGCCAGTGAGTGAGTACTCACGTAGGGAGATAATGCTCTGCTCAGTCAAGCGATCTTAAGCACTAGTTTCAAGGGTTATTAATGTATGTGTTATTGTTCGTAGCTTAGATTTATATTGGTATGTGTTAGTTCTTATATTTAGTTTGTTTGAGGTGCAACTTTATTCTCATGCTTTTATTGTTTGTATTCAAATAAGCGGCATAATAGAATGAGAAGAATTTTATAATGCAATGATTGAATATTTTTACACAAGAAATCTTTAGGTTTAGAAACATATGTTTTTTTTAAACACATGTATGCAAGGACTCAGATTCGGAATTGAATATTTGTAGACCAGGAAAGTCTGTTACTTTATAGAACGTTTACTTAGAAAAGTGAGTAAATTTAAAAAACATTAAAGTCTATTTAGAAATGTCTGTTAACATGTCTGATGACATTTCATAATTCGATGCAGTATTATGAGCCGACAAGTTTTAATTCTCAAGGAATTCACAAATAGCAAATGCTCATGGATTGATACTTTTAGAATGGCATTTGGTGCTGGAGAGAAGTTCTTTTGTTAATTTATAGCCTATAGTTAAAAAATTACTTAAATGTCACACAAAACTATTTTAAAATGGAATTCATCTACAGATAGGTAACAAGAATTTGGTGTAAATATAATCAATATTTTATTTGTTGGCTGTTTTATATACCTATGAAATTGCATTTTAGCTATTTTAAGGAATTTAGTTCGTAATGTGGTGAAAATAGTGTTTTTATTTTGTTTTAATACATACTGAAACCTTGAGATCAAGCTTTGTGTTCACTACTAGATCTCCAGATTGAGAGCTTGCAGTCTCATTTTGGTAGGAACTTTTAGATAATAGGGTGGATATCTGATCATTAAGAATCAGATGTAGCCAAATGTTTATTGAACTAGTACAATAACGTTGAATGAGCCATTTTCACAGGGTGTGATACTGCAAATATTCTATTCAGATACTTTGATAATTTTGTGAATAAAAGATAGTAGTAGTTATCCTTTAATTTAACTTGGTACATGACAAAAATCAGTGATTGGAACAACGCTCTGTCAGTGGCTCAGTTCAACTGTGTTGATTTCCACTCTAAAACTGGCAACAACTTTAACATACGAATGGGATGTGTTACTACTCTCCATAATGAGATATATTATCCAACAGCTATTATTTGGTTAGATTTCTTTTGCAAAGAGGAAAGTTTTCCCACTATCTACATGATTTCTACTCTATACAAATGTTTAACCACTAGTTGGTTTTGAATTGATGTATTGTGTTATGAAATATCGTCTTTGGTAACAGATGACAGACAAGCCAAGCTCCCAGCACCAAACAATAAAAATCATAAATATACCTCGTATTTTAAATTTTGAGTCCTTCAATTGTTGCCCGTTATTCTTCAGCTGAATGTAACAAAGAAGTATACTTAGAATTTAGTAAATACCTAAGTTTTCTTTGTCACTCACCCTTGTTGGTTTCCAATAATATGGTAGAAAGCCAATTACTGTATGTATAAATATTTCAACCAGCGATATAGATTAAATTCTTATTTAATATATATTTTCCACAAATAAAGTACAATTATACAAAAAGTAAAATAAAAAACAACAAAAAAACAGGGTTGTGGCAGCTGAAGAGAAAAAGCCGTCAGTGAGAGAAACGAAATACAAGTTTTGAGATTTGCTCACTGACAAGGCTTTTATGCTTGAGCTGCCAGAATAATAAATAAAGAAATTCATTCAACAAAACAGTCTTACCACTATCAAGTAACATAGAAAAAATAGTTTGCAATTTGGCACATATTAGGTTATAAACACTACTCTATGGAAGTGAAAAAACTAAAAGTGGATTTAACTCAGTTTACTATAACTGATGGACCAAAGCGCCAATATTAATGCCACACAACATAAAATCAATGGCATCTAATATCTAGGCTTGTAAAATAATTTGATGAATATTGGTGTGTGTAAACAAAAATGGAATATTAAGATCAATCAAAATTTAAGGATAACTGGTGTATTTAATGTTAGTCCACTTAACTATAAAGTTGGTTGATTTTTTGGGATTTCTGTTTGATTCAGTTACGGTTCAAGCCAAGCAAACCAAATACAGTATTATGAAATTCTATGAATACACACATTAATTCAAATGTTGCAATAGAATTTAGTTTTGGCTTAAAACTGGATTAATCCTAAGACTAGAAAAGGACACACTATCATCTTTTCCTGAATGGAAAATATATCACTGTTTTGTCAAATTTTACTGAAAAATACTTCCTTCTGGACTTTTTTACCTACTGATGGATATAATTTTATTGAAATACTAAATACAACTAAAAAGTTTGGATTATTTAAGACTATTTTTAAACTTTTGTACTTCCAGCCACAACAAACCAAATTTATTAAAAAAGCGTAAGGTATAGGCCTAAGCTTGGAAAAAAGTATCTACAAATTCAAAGAAAAAGAAACAAAGCCAAAATAGTGTATGTCAATCATAACAAATACGTTTCAAAACAAATTATACCATATCAAATCTAGCGATGGTCAAACCAAAAATTTTGAATCTCAAACCGAAACCAATACGTTTTTAAATTGATCTCGAAACTAAAAAAAAAAATTAAAACCTATTCACTTTCCTTGTTTATGGTTATAAACAAATCATACACTGAGTAGTTTCAGGATTATTGAAATAATGCTGATTGGTTTTAACTGCTCAAAGAATTTTGACAAAATGTTGCAAAGTGCTACAAATTTGGCTCAGGGATATTAGTGCAAATTATGATCTTCAAATCAAATTATCTGTTATACTTTGCGAGTAATAAAATACTAAGCAAGGAGGCCTGTATAATATGTTTATTTTCCTTTTAAAGTTATAATTATATATTGATCATTTACTAGCAAAAGGAAAGGCAATGAATTAAGTTGTCAATAAAAAAAACATAATTCATAAAAATGTATCATTTGAATCTTAAATTAAAAAGTTTCCAATAGAGATTTCAGTTTCAGTTTTGACACATCACATTTATAGTACAACATAAACTGAAGTATGTGTACTGAGGTATGTACAGTAGTCGGCTCACCTTTGGTCTGCGTAATGATCAGCAGTTGTCTGCGTCTGAGGAAGAACTGCATACAGACGTGTAACACACCCATAACCAGCACGGCTAACCCCATGATGCGGAACACCATAGCTCCAGACATCTGGGAGAACAACACTCCAGCCAGGAAACTCCCTGACGACACCCCTGTACAACATACAATAGATTGTAACCACTGAATTAATTAAATTGAAAAAAAAAACTTCATTCAAAAGATATTCACAAGCGTAGGGTCTCATAGTTCCGATTCTTTGAACCCTAATGCACATTTAGTTCTATTAGAAAATTTGCAATATCTCCTATGGTTTTTCAACTTATATGACTGTTTAAAAGTTTTGTTGGAGTTCTGAAACATTGAAAAAGGTTATTGGACCAAAAGAATTTTAGTGTTTAAAATTCTTTGGTCCCAATGAGTGTCAGTGAATATTCGTCATTGGCTCCGAAGAACAAACAAGCTTTCTTCAGTTTCTTCACGAACATATATATTAATGTATATTAAATGTATGTATGTATATTAAATATGTATTAATAGGTATAATAATATATTTTCTTTTTGGTAAAATCATTTGTTTTTATGATTTTGTGGTTTAATTGGTTAGTTATATTTGTTGTGATATAATTAACATTAGTATGACAATGTTACAGAGAACTTCATGGTTTTAGTACGAATCTTGGTGAGACATTCGCCATTAAAAAAAGACATTTGTCGGTGTAAAAAAAGTTTTATTTCTTTACTAAAACAAATGAAAGACCATAATGGATAATGGATAGATAATGGACCATGGGAGGACATTTATTAGGACCAAAATAAATAAGAATACAGTGACGAGTGTCATTAAAACTAAACTACAGTCCATACAAATCACACAATGTTTTATTAGTTTAAAATGATTGAGGTTACATTTAAATTTATTTTGTTCGATCCTCATCTTGACTGGGAGTTTGTTTACAAACAATTGGATAATCATTTTATTGGTGTATGGAGTTTGTAAATCTTAGTTTAAAATAAGTCCCTGTAAACTACGCTGTTTTTTGGCTTCAATAGTTATGGTTTTTAAAATTTAAAATAAATTATTTAATCTATTTTCTATTAGAGATGTTTCATTACAAGGAGTAACCAAGAACAACTTTAGAATATTACTGCTTTCCTTCATATTTAATACAATAGGTTTCATCCATTCTTTAATTAACCCAGACAATTTGGATCCCCAATCAGTAATAATAATCAGTTAACTGTACTTTTATTAGAATACATATTCAACAGTAATGACTTGATGTTGAACACAGAAGATATTACTTAATACACTCTACTGACCGATGCCTTCAAAGACGGCGCCGACCAGTCCCTGGACGGTAGTGTCGGTGCCGGGCGGTGCCACCATGCTGGCGTACGATGCCATAGTGGCATACAGCAGCCCGTAGGTGGGGCCGCTGAGCAGCTCTACAGGTAGACACCACCATGGATTGGTCAGGGTGGAGTACAACAGGAACCTCACACTGTGGAAACAAAACTCAACAGAGTGTAAAGAGATTGCAGCTTCTCAAAGGAATACATTTCAGTTAGTGTTTTGAGTAAAGATTATTCACAAAAATAACACAATAGGCCTACTAGTTAAAGAGAGAACATTTTTAAATCAATAAATTTTCTTTATTGAGATTTCTTTAAGAAATACAATAGTTTCATATACATATGGATCTATACATATATACAGTAGAACCTTGATAACAAGACTTTCATGGGGATTATGAAATAAGAGTTGTTATCAAGGTTGACTTCTTATTGAGGTTTGCAATAACATGTGATTAGGGGTCAAATAAATTCTAGGGGATTTAAAAATGACACTTTTTATCAAGGGTGACTTGTTATCGAGGGTCTTTTTATCAAAGTTTCACTTTATCTATCTATATATATAATAGGCTAAGCTGTTTTTTGTTAATCAAACTCCTCCGTTATTATTCGCCTGATTTTGACGTTTGAAGTCTCAAAATAAAGGTTAAAACGTGTAGTTGTACCCAACGGTATTAGATTTTTGATAAAGTCGTTGGTAAGGGCGTCATAGGCCCTTAAAGTCAGTATCACACTGATCACAGTATCAGTATGACGTGTCCTGAATATCACCAGACAAAATAATAAAGGTAAGTGAAGACCACAAAATGTTCACAAATAAATAATGAAAGTTATTTACCTGAACGCAAAGAGAACCAAAGACATAGTATTTATGTGGCCCAGCTTCTTCAGTATGGTACCTGTAAGTTGACAACGAATTGTAAGTTTAGAACTATAAGAATGGTCACCAGTGATAAAACTTTTCTTCAATTATTTAAACAGACCTGGTAATATTTATAAACATTCTCCTCCCTTGTAAATGTATTGTCTCTTGTGAGCATTTTGAGGTCTGTTGACAGTTAAAGATTACCCAAATGATTTATTTATTATAATTTCACCCAAACTTTTAACCAAAAGTTTCAAAATGGTCCAAATTTAGGTAGGTATCAAAATTAATGTAAATGACAGTTTATGTATATTTTGTGAATAAAAAATAATAAGCAAATTTAATTTGTTAGGCTTTAATTGATTTATGGAGACTACTATTTTGGAAGGGGATTAGAAATTAATTACACAGTGAACCTAACGACCGATGACAGAAGGATTAAGGGTAAAAAGATATACAAACCTGATTATGATATAAATCAAAACTTTTTCAAAATCTTTGGTTTAAGATTCACAGGCAAGGTTCCACAAATAATAGTAGGATGAGAAGAAAATATTTAGGATATTTTGAGTTGTCATTTACAAAACCAACCAACTGAAGCTCAGAACCTTTCTTTCAAAATTGTCAAAGCTTTGAGTATCACTAGTGTTTACAGCAGACGCTCAAGTCTTGTTCCTACCTGATAAGAAGAAGAAAGGCAGCTCTCCTCCAAAGCACTGTATCCCGTTGACCAGGCCCTCTAATGTTTTGATCCACTGTTGAGTGGTTGCACAGCCAAAGTTGGCCGCTAGTTCCTCAAGATACCTGAAAATAATTTGCGGTTAACTTTCTAAAAAATTACAAATATATTTTTAATGTATACTTATAAAAAAATATCTAAAAATCATAAATTACTCTTTATTTCCTACCACTTAACTTTGTACATACCAGAAGAGGAAGTTCCAGATGAGCGCAGTGCACATCCCCACCACTACGAGCCACAGCAGGAACACCACCACCTGTATATCAGACAACATCTTGCCTACGTTGTGTAGGATGCTAGCTGCTTGTAGCTTCTCACTTGACTGAAACGTACAAACACTTCAGATCAATATATCATACATTGAACACAACTACCGTAAATTTTAAAATATAATACTGTACATCAGTTTCACAGACTTAATGTTATGAGGACCAAAATTGTGTATTGTGGTTCCAAGTTAGAGAAATGCTAAGTAATTGGAAAAAACAGTCAACAACTGAAACTGAGACGTAATATAGTTTTTTGGAAGGAAAGGCCTTGGATTAGGAATACAATAAGGAAAAAGAAATGAATACACAACTAACTCACCCCGAGAAAATAAAAGAGTTCCAGGCTGATAACATTATAGAAAAAGTTCACAATATAATTAATTTCATATTTCGATCCTGTAAGGGGCTTTTTCAGGAGGATCCACATAATGTCGAATTTGTGGGACTGTATTCCATCTAATTAAATTGAACACAAACAAAATATAAATTAAGATTTTATCACTAATTTAACATAAGTACCTATATTAACACTGAAAATGTTTACCTGTAGCCTGGAAGATGTGAATAAGTCAAGTGTTAGTAATGCAGCCATCATGTAGAAGACAGGAGTGTAATCCTTGTGTCCAAGACCCACACTCCACCTGTCTACCAGCCAGCCCGCAGTGATCACTGAGAGACCAAACCCCACTGAACCCCACAGTCTCTGGTGACCAAACCTGCTGGCTCTCTCACCTGTAATGTCACTACAATGTACACAACAACTCTTTACTACACTCTACCTGTCTACCAGCCAGCCCGCAGTGATCACTGAGAGACCAAACCCCACTGAACCCCACAGTCTCTGGTGACCAAACCTGCTGGCTCTCTCACCTGTAATGTCACTACAATGTACACAACAACTCTTTACTACACTCCACCTGTCTACCAGCCAGCCCGCAGTGATCACTGAGAGACCAAAACCCACTGAACCCCACAGTCTCTGGTGACCAAACCTGCTGGCTCTCTCACCTGTAATGTCACTACAATGTACACAACAACTCTTTACTACACTCCACCTGTCTACCAGCCAGCCCGCAGTGATCACTGAGAGACCAAACCCCACTGAACCCCACAGTCTCTGGTGACCAAACCTGCTGGCTCTCTCACCTGTAATGTCATTACAATGTACACAACAACTCTTTACTACACTCCACCTGTCTACCAGCCAGCCCGCAGTGATCACTGAGAGACCAAACCCCACTGAACCCCACAGTCTCTGGTGACCAAACCTGCTGGCTCTCTCACCTGTAATGTCACTACAATGTACACAACAACTCTTTACTACACTCTACCTGTCTACCAGCCAACCCGCAGTGATCACTGAGAGACCAAACCCCACTGAACCCCACAGTCTCTGGTGACCAAACCTGCTGGCTCTCTCACCTGTAATGTCATTACAATGTACACAACAACTCTTTACTACACTCCACCTGTCTACCAGCCAGCCCGCAGTGATCACTGAGAGACCAAACCCCACTGAACCCCACAGTCTCTGGTGACCAAACCTGCTGGCTCTCTCACCTGTAATGTCACTACAATGTACACAACAACTCTTTACTACACTCCACCTGTCTACCAGCCAGCCCGCAGTGATCACTGAGAGACCAAACCCCACTGAACCCCACAGTCTCTGGTGACCAAACCTGCTGGCTCTCTCACCTGTAATGTCACTACAATGTACACAACAACTCTTTACTACACTCCACCTGTCTACCAGCCAGCCCGCAGTGATCACTGAGAGACCAAACCCCACTGAACCCCACTGTCTCTGGTGACCAAACCTGCTGGCTCTCTCACGTGTAATGTCACTATGGCTCAGTAAAATTTAAAAATTGACTGCTTGATCAATAACGGAGTTAATTAATAACTTTTGAAAACAAAATACTAAAGAGCAACATATAAGTCAATGAAATGGGAAAGAATAATAGAGGGGGAGGAAAAATCAGAAGTAAGAAAAGGGTTGAGGAAGAATATACAGTAGTAAAAAGAAAATTACCCCACGGCAACAAACCTGCTGACTATAAGCAAATCTCCAATTAATTGTCTGAATTGATTCTAAAATCTATTTAAATAACATTAGGTTTAACGAGTACCTAGGTTTGCTGCTACAAGGAAACTAATTAAGTGTGTTTTTTTTTGTAAAATATATATAGCTTAGTATAAAATAAATAAATTCGCCAGGTTTGATCAAAAGATACCCATTAACAAGCAAACTAACATAATTTTACAATATTCACCATAAGAATAACATGGGAATTTTAAATTACATTTTTTTGAATTTTCTCCGTTCCCAATAATCATACGAAAACACTTTGATATGCTGAATTATTTGTTGTTTTTTTTAAGCTCTTTAAAAAGGTCTAGAGATAAATTGGGGAATTTTATGTTTTGAGGGTCAAAAATGAACAACCAATTTTGACCCCATAAAAACCCAAGTCCCATGGTTCGATCATGCTGGTTCGTAAACTCATTCAACTTTATCCCACCGACCGTACACCTTTGAAACAAATTTCACCAAAATTGGATAAAAATTATTCAAGTTATTGCGTTCCTTGATATATATCTAAATATATAAAAGGCAAAGCTCTCACTGACTGACTGACTGACTGACTGACTCACTCACTCATCACTAATTCTCCCACTTCCCATTTACCTAGGAGGCTGAAATTCAGTACACTGATTCTTTGGGCATTAAATAGGAAAACTAAGTAGTTTTTATTCTGATCGGACTCTCGGGCTCCGCCCCAGTGGCTCTGGAGTTTCCCATGTTAACCTTATGATTTTTCATATTTAAAAGGAATTAATGAATCTTATTAGCTGTTTCAATTAAACAAGTTGGTTCTGTTCTATGATGTTCAATAGCTTTAAAGTTACAAGGATTACCAACAGGGTGCAGCACCATATATTTTTTTTTATTTATAACAACAGCTAATTTGCAAACAAAAGGTGAGTGAGCGTAGCGAACAAACTTCAACCTGAAGGCAAGTGAGCGCAGCGAACGAGCTCCAACCTAAAGGTTTGTGGTTGAACTTCAACCAGGACGTGATTGTGGCATGCAAATACGAATATGAAGTTAAACGGGGCTAAGCCCGCAGGTACAGCTAGTATATATATAAATCTATATAGTAGAACATTGATAACAAGACTCTCATAGGGATTATAAAATACAACTTGTTATCAAGGTTGACTTCTTATCGAGGTTTGCAATAACATGTGATTAGGGGTAAAATAATTTCAAGGGGATTTAAAAATTACCATTGTTATCAAGGGTGACTTGTTTTTGAGGGTCTTGTTATCAAGGTTCTACTGTGTATATATATATATATAAATTTTAACGAATGGTGTGTTTTGGCCTCTGGGACATCAACATGAAAAAGTAAATCGGTCCCAGGCCTAGGTCTTACCGTGCCATCTACGGTAATTGCTACTTCCCTATATGGATATTCGCTAACAAGACTACTTATGGAAAGGACATGCTATTAGGAGGGAGGAGAATGAAAGGAAGTCCAGGAGGTAGAAGATCTTTGATTGTGACCTATGGGAAGTGCAAGAAGAAGTTCACTGTCTTTCTTCTAACGGAAGCACCAGAAGAGTAGATATTTTATTGATCGAAAGAGAAACTAACAAAGGCATAATTCTCGATCCAACAATTCGATTTGAAATAAACATAAATCAACCTAACAAAGTAAATGGAGAAAAGAAAAACAATTATGATTCTACCATTGAATATTTCAAACAAATTTAAAATTTTGAAAATTGAGGTGATTGGATTGTTTATTGGTTCTAGAGGAACATTATCAACATTTTTTGTGAATTTTTGGAAACAATATGATTTGGACAGATCCTGTTTGAAAATTATTATTCATGAAACATTAAGAGGTTCATTGACCATAATGAGAAATCATCTATATGGCAAACATCAAAATTAATCAGTCTTATAGCTGTATAATCCTTTAATATTTTATGTGTAAAATTTTTTCTGTGTCATTGGCAACCTTATTTTTTAAGGCAGATGTATTTATTTTTATAAATAAATTCGTTTCTCTCAAGAGCACGGATAGAAGCAGTTGCAAGCCATTTCAATTGCATGTTAAGGTACCAGTTACTACTTACCAAGTATGTTGAAGCAGATGGCGTCGCCCACACTGACCACGACGGCCATCCCCACCCAACTGAGGATTAGCAGTGCGGTGAACACCCAGAACTGGTAGTGGTGCAGTATCTGGGTGTCTGGCATAGTCATGAGGTCTGCCAATGTGTCACTCTGGCACTGCGCTCTACACTGGGCCACCTGCAGGTGCTGGCAGTATGGCACATGCCACTGTGTGCCTGCCTTCACACGCGACACCCGTGTGAACAAGCAACCCGAACCCTGCGACAAACATTACATTCACTTATATCTGATGGTACAAGACCTTTTACCTAGTTTGTATTAAAAACATATGGTATGAATATGGCATGAAATATAATATTGAAAAGCTGGCCAGTGACCACCTCACAACACACCAACAACAAACAACTGTCTGTTGTTGTTGATGGTGTCTGTTGTTTTGTGTGGTGTTGGTGATGACTCATCTTCCAGCGTCGCTGCACATGTCTGACGTCATAACACTGGCCAGTTTGCCCCAGTTTTTCAGTATTTATTTAATTATATTCATTCATTGTATTTTTGAAGTTTGTTTGTGTTGTGTATGTTCTTCAAGGGTAACGTTTTTGAATTGTAAAAAAAGGAGAATAGCAGCTAGCTAACCTTGAAAGTGTAGGTAGGCCATAGAACATGTAGAAAATAATTTATTGTGTGCACAGTGTATTTTCTACATGTTCTATGGCCTACCTACACTTTCAAGGTAAGCTAGCTGCTATCCTCCTTTTTCTACAATTCAAAATCCTGGCCTAGAGCCTTTCCTTGAACAAAACTAATCTTTAATGGTAACGACAGATCTAATCAAATCGGATAGATGACCTGATGTTTTTGCCACACCTGATGGGTCATAGTCGTCTGAAACTATAGTAGTGTACTACTACAAAGCATTGCGTATTTGATGAAGGTAACTTAAACCATTTAGCTCAAGTTGTTTTGTATTGCAAATCTAGCTACAACTTTAACGTGGGAACGGAATGACTACTTCTTGGTAGTTTATATTTAGATGAAGTTCTAAGGTAACAGCTGTATAAGTACACATAAATATTAAATTATTATTTTACGTTTATGCCTATAGATGGACAAAGCACAATAATCTAACTTTGTGTCAGATAAACCCAATGTTGATACTTTGTATGGATGATTGAAAAACTGAAGCACTAAAAAACTTATATATCATGGGTTTATCAATAGTGTCACTGTTGTTAACTGATTATGAATTAATAGTTTAAAAAAGTATAACTGCTCAAGGGCTATTCAGATAAACCAATGGAGTGTGAATGAATTCATCACACATGGGACAGACCTATCTATGAATTGATCATTGTATGATCTGCCAGTGTCGGAACTAATCTGTTTCTATATTTAACTATGACAGGAGTACGATACTTTGTTGCTACACTTTGGTAGACTCAACAAAGATTTTAAATTGTGATAACTATCAATCTCAGTAAAATTAACATAGTTAATTGTTTATTAATATTTATTGATTCATTAAGGTAATTATTATACAAAATTAAATTTGGCACTTTGTTTACCTTTAAAAAGTAGCTCTAAAAATGGATCCCCTTCTACAATGAACATCTGTTACCATTACATAGATATGATATGTTTTACTCCGCTAACACAGTAAATGCATATTTTTATGACAAAAAGTTTTGTAAATTTCAATTGTCTGAATAATGATAAAAAAAGGTATATTTATGGTGAACCATAACATGTAACACCATCGTGTCATTTTTATGGTTCACCAAAACAAAAAAATTATTACATTGTTATAGATGTAAATTAAGTCCACTGATTTTGCCGAATCTAGTAGGTAATCTTGATAAACAAATTTACCATGGTGTTGTGAAACTTTGTGTTTGTCATCACAACCACTAAGTTTCACAACACCATGGTAAATTTGTTAATCAAGACTATTAGATTCGACAAAATCTGTGGACGCAATTTACAGCTATAATAATGTAAAGCTGTTGTCCTTGACTCAAGCTGAATCTTTTTTACATTTGGGAGATAAAGAGCAAGGCGTGTATTGGGGACATCCGTTTTGGCTGCAGTACAACGTAACATTTTTTTAATAATTTGGGTTTTTATGTTCATACGATGAGGCAAAAACACAACCAAAAATGCATACAAAATAACTAAATCCCAAGATTTAACTAGTTACCTGAACAGAGAGTGTGTGAAGGGGGGAGAGGGACACATCGAACAGCACTGTGTGAGGGGGAGGTGTCAACATGGCTCTCCTGTCATCCACCACTGTCAGTGTTGGTTTGCCTACGTCATCACACACACCCGTCCAGTTCCAACTGTGACAAGCTGCGTCCAGGAACGTAGCGTTCAGCTCACAACTCATCTGTACAAGAAAACGTAACCAGTTTGATCAAATCCGCACTGTCCACCCATTGGCCAATCTGTAACCAGGATGGTTTTGTAATCAGAAATTGATTAGAGGTCAACTATTTTAGTTTTGTCTTCTTTATGGCATGCAGTTTTGGCGTAGTTGTTTAAACCCAGAGATACAGGATTGTCACCATAGTTAGATGAGTAATTCATGCAGAAGTCATGGGTGTCATTGGTAGGTAGTAAAAAATATCATGGTCTAAGCACTTGTTTAGTTTCAACATCTAAATGAGCGTTGTCGATTTCAGAAATTTACGTTTAAAAGGCAGTTGCTTTGTGTGTTACTATAAAAAATAACCTTTCTTACATGAAATAAAAATATTTTAGATAGATTTATAAGTATACATTAAAAACAAAGTAAATAACAAAACTGGTCAAGCTATTCCGAAGGAAATATTGGAGAATAGAAAAAAAATCCAATCTGATTTAGTCTTTTCACGTGGACAAAACAAAAATCTCATTTACTGGGCCAAGGAAATCCCGTTTTATCCACCTGCATGAATTTCATGAAAAATACTGTACCATTCTAGTTGATCGTGTTATGTACAAAGATTATATTGGTCTTAATCAGAATACCCCGCCGCAGCAAACCTGCCGACTAAGCGAATTTCCATTTTTTTAATTTGATTTTCATTTTAGTCTATTTAAATAACATAAGGTTAACGAGTAGGCCTACCTAGGTTTGCTGTTACAGGGATGCTAACAAAGTGTATTTTTAGTAAAATATTACAGTATAACCTTGATAACAAGACTTTCATGGGGATTATAAAATAACACTTGTTATCAAGGTGGTCTTCTTATCGAGGTTTGCAATAACATGTGATTATAGGGGTAAAATAAATTCTAGGGGATCTAAAAATGACCCTTGTTATCAAGGGTGACTTGTTATTGAGGGTCTTGTTATCGAGGTTCCACTGTAATAGCCTAGTATAAAATAACAAAATTTTCCAAGTACATATTGAGCCGTGTCAGTCGGCTCAGTTTGAGAAAGGAGAGTATTTCTTATAGTACATATTGCGGCAGAAGCTCTGTACGCCGACGCTCGCCAAAGGCCGTGGGCGAGTCCACTTTGTCTTTACTCCCCTTCTTCTCCGATTTGCTTGGAGACGTTCTCTCTCTTTGAAATCGTCCACCAAGATTGACGTTCCAAATTTTACCGGCACTATGGAGACTCAAGAAAGAAGATTTTCCAAGTTCATTTTGTTCGACCTTCATAAAATGCAATTTTAAATTTGTTTTTGACACCAAGCCAGGTATGTCAAATCATTGTATTAGATTAATTGTCCGTTTTTTCATTTTTAAACTTAGCCATTTTTTCCCTCAAACATTTTGTCTGTTCTTGAAAGCGTTCACAAGAGATTTGTCCTTTTTCTCTATATTTGTGTAAAATGATGTTTATAAGGTCTTTTAAAGTTGTTTAAATTGTTTAACTTGTTTTGTCAAATGTTTAAAATTGTAGTTGTCAAAAATTTTGTGCTTAAAGTTAGTTTTTGTCTGGTCACAGACAGGAAAATTTCATGTTGGTGTTCAGGACACACGTGTTCGACTTTGGTAAATTTGTTGTTTTTAATTATTTGTGTTGTTCTGAGTCGTCATTTGTTTGTGTTTACAGGTTTTCCAAACTAAAGTAAAGTGAAAGAGTTAGTTTTTCCTTTTAACAAAATCCACAGGCTAGGCCTAGGCTGGAAATTGTATTAGTATTAGTAACAGAAAACTGAATGAAAATATGTATTGTTTTGTTAAGCCAAGAAAAGCAATAGAGATTATTTGTTTAACCATGACTAACAGAGATTTAAAATTTTACTTAAAGTGTTATGTAAATTTAGCTCTGCCGTAAACTCCCGAAAGACCAAGTCTATATTCCTTGAAAGGGTTAGGTTTGATAATATTCTGAAATACTGATTATTTTCAACTTTTAAGTAGGCCTGTGTAATTTTAAAGGGCTCCTGTACTGGACCGACAGCAGCGGACACATCATGCCTCCTGATCCTGACCTAGTTCGGAGCAAGACGAGGGCTTCGCCCCCGGACTAAACCAGGCCTAACCACAACCAACTCGCAGCGGAAGGACTTCACCCAGAAACATTCTACGAGAACTTTGGCCTTCTTCACCTCTACAAACCAGGTGCTATCTACTCCATGTTATCATTATTATTCCAACGTTTGCATTCAGCCTACCTTCAAGAACAGTTCATTTATATCAAGTTTTTCCCCAATTTAAAGTTTTACCGTTTCAATTTCTTAAACTCTGTAGCCTAGCAAATTTGAGCTTAGTGTTTCCCTAACTAGGCCTACTTCTTATTTCTGGACTAAACTACAGACTAATAATCCCCTTGTGTTTTACTGTTTCAAATTAAATGTTTTTATTTCGCTATCGCTGCGAGTTGAGTTGTGGAACTGGAACTAACAAAAGTCAACAAGAATACATTATTTATATCACGGGTCTACGAGTTTTTTTTTTAAAAGCTACAAGAATTCATGTATTTAGTAGGGTGTCACATTTCCTTGTTATTTCATTATTTTGTGTATGTACCATGTTATGTTAGTAATAGGCTAAAAATTTCTGTTCTAACGGGGAAACTTTCGGCCCAATTGTTCTAAATTTCATTTCGGTTCACGCCAGTACTAAATTCTTCCCCACAATTTTTGCCATTTTAAAAAATTCTATTTCTTACTGTTTAAATTAAAATTCTATTCTGATGTTAGTGTATATTTGTGTATAATTGTCTTATGTTGCTATTTAAATATTTTCATGTCAATGTTGAGTGTAATTTTGAACTGTAAGGTTGTTCGAACGTTTCTCTTTAAACGCAACTTGTTATTGATATTTTGGTCAAATACTATTTATAAATGATTTCATTGTACGGTCATTTCAATTCAACGTCTGTTTTATGTAATATTTTCAATTTCTTGCCTTTTAAGATTCATATTTTTAAATTTATCATTGTCCTAAACCTTTTCCGAGTAGGCCTAACCTAACTTAAAGTAAGGATTTTCTTCTAGTTACCAGCTTGGTCCTTAAACTTAAACTTGAACTTCAACTTTTGGTAAAGTTTATATATACATAAATGTTTTAAATGTTTTGGTAAATGATTTAGGCCTAACACTGGTATTGATTTACATTCTAAGCCTTGTACCAATTTGTATATATTATTTCGCTGTTGTTTAAGGGCGCATATTTGTTAATATTTTTAATTGAGTTGGTAATAAAAGATGTTAATCACTTTTCAGTTGTATTTTTTGAACACCTGCAGATCTCTCATGAGCACAGAATCTTGGTAAAAGTTCCACGTACCATTTTGGGGTCTGGGAACTCAGTCATGTTTCATTTGGTAGCAGAGCGTGGTTTTTTTTTTTTCAAATGGCTCAGTAATTTAGAGTGTTTGTTAGCATTTTAATATTTCTGTGTTCTTGGGGGTCTGAAGGTGATTCAAATTGTTTTCAGGTCATGGCCGTTGGATTTTGAAATTTTCTGAACTGTGTGTTCCTGGGTATCAACATGAAAAACTTGTTGGAATTTGTCTCATTTGTTGTTTTGTCATTTCATTGTGTTTTGTATTTCCTTGTGTAGATTTAAAAAAAATGTTTCGAGTTGTTTTCACGTAGGCCCGTCATTGATTGTCCCGTTTTGTTCGCGTTTTGGTTAGGAGCCCTGGCAATGGTGTTTTTTGGTGAATTGTTAATTGTAAAAAAAAAAAAAAAAATTTGCTGTCGTGTTTGTTGTTTGTATTCAAATTTTGTCGAGATGAGTAATTTAAACCCCGATTTTCTGCTGAAAAAGGAACTCCAGTTTGAAGTTGCCTTGCGAGGTGAGACCCCAGCTTTGAAGGTAGCTGATTTGAGACGTCAACTCAGGGGACTCATAAAAGCCAACAAGCCCCCTACCTCTGCTGTGAAGAATGATCCCGGTGAAGAATGGGAATTTTGTAAGGAGCTTGCTGAGGAATTAACTTTAGGTGTGAAGGACTTGGGTGATTATCCTGATCTGGGTTCCAATGCTGTTCAGCGCTTGAGAGTTCGTCTTGAACATCTTGAAAGACGGCTAAATGCCATAGATCCTGTTCAGGCTGTTGGGGAGGATAGCGAAGTTACTGTAACTCTTGTGCTTCAACAAGTCCGTGAGCACTTGTGCTTTTTATTAAATCCCAAGCCCAGAACTGCCACCGGGAACAAGGAGTTGGAACAACCTACTGTCAATGTTGCTAGTGGCGGTAGTCAGGAGATCCAGACTCCAGACGAAATAGTGATTAACGAGAAGGATGAGTCGCAGACTCCTGCTACGAATGTAACTAATACTTCCAGTCCTTGTAATAAAATTCACAGTGCTGTATCTGGAAATTCACAGCCATCATCACAAACTGTGCAGGCTACTTCCAAACTCCCTGGAACCATGATAGCGCCACAATATTCTAGGCTTCCGAACCCAGTCAGCCAGGTTATGGAGAAGCTCCCCGTTACCGATGGACTCGAAGTACCGCAACTGTTGAATTTCCTTAGTTCCCTACTCCGTCTGAGAGAATTCCCTGGTGTGGATGACTCCACACTGCTAAAACTGGTGTACCCCTATTGTCGCAGCCCTTTGACTGAGAGAGTACTGTCATGTATCGAAGCTACCCGATCGTTTGATGATTTCCACCAAGAAGTTTTGGATTATTTTGTGCCGGGTAGGCTACTTCAACAATTGATACAGGAGAAATTTTACCGATTACAACGTCCAAGGGAGAGTCTGGCTAGTTTTGCTGCTGATCTTAAACATGTTGCTCGACTGCTTCGGGTTAAATTGGGAGAGACGGGAATAGTTGAAGTCATTCTGGGAGGTTTAACAGCCGAAGAACGTTCTCGTTTGGTTTTTTCGAGGCGACCGTCATCCTTCATTGAACTGGATGAGTTGAGCATCACATCACGAAACGTTGCCTATACTGACGGGTTGAGAAGTTCTTGTGCCCCGGGCGGT